GAGAGAAACCCCGCCACCAGGTGGTGTTTTGGTGGTGAAATTGCAGAATAGGGGAGCCAAGCAGCACACAAGTATAAATGCTCTCAACTCCTTGGAGGAGTTGATTATATTAATTCTTCATTTAACACACTTAATACTTTATCAGCTTTAATTAACAACTTCAAACCAACTTCTAGCTCACTGCTGTTACCTTTCGTCCAATACTTTTGGTTGCTCCTTCATACTCCAACAGCTACTCAGTGTTTCAAGATATATTTCCACTCATTCTGTAAGGCAGACATTTTAGCTGTCTTTGTAGTATGTTAGGCTTTAGTTTAGTTGTTTAAAGTATTCGGTTATTCACCTTTTTGATTGTTAGCTATCTGTTTGAAATGTAGTCTGTTTCTACATTCTAACCATCCATCTCTTACTTTTAATGAACCTTTCTACTCAAATCTGAACAGGTCTGAAATATTTCTAATTAAACTTCTGTATTTTAGAAGATTAAAGATGCAGCAGGAACAGCTGTCATGGTCCAGGTGGGATTGACATTATTATCTGTCTTAGGTGATGTTAAAATTACCTAAGATGAAAGATGAAAATAAATCCTGTGTGGACTTAGATGTTATATACTGACAACTTCATTAGGACTGTGTTGATTTGTTGTGGATGGATTAGATTAACAGCTGTCATTAGATTTTGATTTAAACGATGCCATATTTCAACACTGCCAAAGGAGGAAATGTGTTTATGGGTTTTGTTATTCGTTTTAAAATAGTTGATTAAAGCATAAATATTGAGGGGCTTTAAATCTGATGGCTAATGACACTCCCCCTCCCCCTCACAGTATGCCAAACTGGCTATTTCCCTGAGGGTACCTGGAGGAGGAGGAGGAAAGAAGAAGAAGGCTGCTGCTGCTCCACAGGATGGTGCTAGTGGGGCACCAGCTCCAGAGGAAGAGGAGGATGACTATGAAGGCGGGCTGTGTTAGCCTTCAGCCTCCAGAGCACCGACTCTACCATCTGCTGCCACCAGTACACCCTCTCTGTATGAGTTAAACAACCTCTGAGCTCTGATATCCTGATGGGTGGCTTTCTGATCTTAAATGTGCAAAAAAAAAAAAGAATAAGAAAAAAATACATTTTAAAACCCCAAACAGTTCAGTAGGTGTTGGCGTCAACCTGAGTTTGAACAGCCTTTTATTTTGTGTAATCTCTCGAGGTGGATCCTCAGCCTGTTGTATGTACATGTTCTATTATTTCTCGTCTCTTGTGAAGCTGTAAATTTTGCTGTTTATTGTTTGCGGGTAGAGTGTAAAATTACTATAGGTATATTCAAATCACACAAAGACTTGATCAGTGTATAGGTGTTTATTTGTACAGAGTTAATTTATTCAGTATTCATGACTATAGCCTGAAAATGTTACTGGAGCAATATGCAATCAGATTGTTATAATGCATGTTTGCAATAACGGAACGATTAAATAAAATAAAATCTATGATAAATCTGTCGATATTAAAGCTTAAGAATGGGTCACGCTGTCATCTTCAGCATCAGCTCTCTCTACTTTTTTGTGAGTATTTTAAAAATAAGACATAATGCAGCTTGTAGCCAGCTGTAGACTGTTTTCCTGTCTACCTCCAACTCTGTGTTACCTTATAATAAAATAGTCATGGCTGTGTCTTTATTTCTTAATTTCCTCTAAAATTAAAGATAGTATACTAATAAAAAAGGGACCATTCAGTGAAGATTTCAGGGCTGTAAATGTGAAAAGCCCACAATAAGTACAATATCACCTAAATGCCAATAATATAAAACAATATCACTACTAAAGGGATTGTTTACATTTTTAAATTTGTGTTGTTGCTGACTTATTGTATATTCCTCAAAGTCATATCTTCAAACTTTGCACATGCATCAATAAACATTTCCGTTGTGTGGCATTTTATGGTCTCTGTACATTTTCTTAAATGAGTTAGCAAACAGATTTTCCATATCAGCGAGTCTAACGGCGGCTGCAGATGTCTGCACCAAAATGGCTCACAGACATGTAATGACTGTGTAGCTTCCTAAGACCTATTTATCTTTGATGAGGCTAATGCTTTCTCCCTGTTAAGCGATATTTAATGTATACCCATTCATGCTCTTTTTGTGATGCCTCTCATACTGAATGACTCCAGTGCATCTGTGCATTAGGTGGATCAAAGCTGGACTTGAGTGGAAAACAAATTAGCAGACAAAAATAAGAAGTTGTTTCATGTGTGGGTTATTAGAACAGAGTCTTGTGCATCGGACTTGAAAAATATTCTTAATTAAATTGAACTTTCATCACGATATGACTTAGTTTTGAGCTGATATACAGATTCCCAATTTAATAATTAAATACCGCTGACAAATCTTTTTTTCTAGGGCTTAGTCCTTTTTAGTTTCTAGGTCTTTATATTTTCAATCGCATTCACCCTCCTTCCTCCAAATTATGGATTCTACAGGTGTTAAAACATGATGAAGCAAAACCTCAAATTTAAAAAGATAAGAGACTCAAGGAATCTTCCCACAAATGCAAACCTAATATTTCCACACTCAAACCACTTACGCATGACACATTTTCTATTAGCTAGATTTTGTTTGTCTCCTCATCAAACTTCTGTTTTTCTCTGCACAGCACCACATGCATAGAATGTGCATACAAGCATAAACAATCAATATGCAACTGAAATATGAACTTTCAGCTTTAATTCAAGAGGTTCAACAAAAGAATCGCGTTAACTTTTCAGGAACTGTTCCCCGTGGTTTCAGTATAAAATATTTTTTGCATTCTTGATATCAGATTTCATCTGTGTTTAATTCTTGTTTTCAGTCCACAATATGCCAACTGCATATCAATGAGTGACAAGTCTGAGGGGTTTAGCATCCAGACTCTTACTATGGAGCTCTACTGTTGTCCTAATGTAGAACGTGCAGAATGTAGTTTGGCATTGTCTTGTTTAGTGAGAAACGTTTTCCTGAAAGGCAGTATATGTTAACCTGTTTATATCATTAACAGATGTTCTAATTACTCATAGTGTACACTAATGTACCCCAAATCATGAATGCCGTTTCCCTAGCAACTGTCTGCTGATAACAAGCTGGATGGCTCCTCTCCCCCTGTGCCTGCTGTATGCCGTGTGTGGTTGGACGACGTCATTGCAACATTCATGACCCTGAGAAGTAAGCAGTGTTTCTCAATCTTGTTTATATATAGGTTTCTTCACAGAGCTGTAGCTAGCATTCTTGGATTCAGCAACAAGTTGTGTTTACTGAGAGTGGATGTCGGAAGAACTTAAATGCACTCCAGATTGAGGTCATGGACAGATGGCTGGACATTCTCCTTCAGGATGTTTTGGTAGACAGCAGAATTCATGGTTCCATTTACCACAGCAAGTCTTCCAGGTCCTGAGACATCAAAACAGCCCCACACCATCACACTACCTCCACCGTATTTTACTGTTGGCATGATGTTTCTTTTTTGACTGCTGTGTTAGTTTTACGCCAGACGTAACGGGACTCAAATCTTCAAAAGAGTTCAGCTTCGGAAGATCCCTTCAGTCTTGCGGATCATCGAGATGTTTTCTGGGAAAACTGAGACGAGGTTTATGTTCCTTTTGCTCAGCAGTGGGGATTTTTGTTTTGGAGCTCTGCCATGCAGGTCATTTTCATCCAGTGTCTTTCTTATGGTGGAGTCATGAACTCTGACCTTAACTGAGGCTAGTGAGGCCTGCAGTTCTTTGGATGTTGTTCTGGGGTCTTTTGTGAACTCTTGGATGAGTCTTCGCTATACTATTGGGTTAACTTTGGTCGGCCGGCCACTCCTGCGAAGCATCACCACTGTTCAGTTTTTTTGCCATTTGTGGATAATGGCGCTCACTGAGGTTCACTGGAGTCCCACAGCTTTAGAAATGGCTTTATAACATTTTACGACTGAAAGATCTTAATTATGTTGTTTCTCATTCTCAGTTCCTGAGTTTTCTTTGGAATGCAGCATGATTTCTGGCTTTTGAGTCTGCTCCATTTGATTTTTTGATTGAGCACAGGTGTGGCAGTAATCAGGCCTGGGTGTGGTTAGAGCAGAAATGAACTCTGGTGTATCTCTAACTGGGGGTGCAGTAGGCAAGACTTGTGTTGTCTTTCTCTAATATTTACATTTGTTTGATGATCTGAAAAATTTAACTGCGATAAACACATACACACACAAAAAGGAAATCAGGAGAAGGACTAACACTTCTCTGCATCTCCATATCTTCTCACTGTAACTCTGCAGGACCGTGTGCATAGATACAGAACACATGTACAGTGCCCTTTTGCAGTTTTGCCTTTGCCCACCATTACAGTTAATTGTAAATCAATCAATATGATTAAAGTGGAGACTTCCAGCTCTAATTCAAGGGATTATACAACAATTTTGCACGAGCTGTTTAAGAATTGCAGGCATTTTTATACACAATTTCCCATTAAAATAATGGGACAAACTAACATAAATTTAAAGAGTATTTTTTAATACTTGAAAACAAACTCTTTACAGCCGATATCTACCAGAAGTCTCCACCCTGGAGTTGCTTTGCTTTGCTACACCTTAACTGCTGCCAGTTGCAAAATTACACTACAAAAAATTGTCTTTGTTTCAAACATCGTGAGTGCACTGTATACTTACCTCTAACACAAGTTTCATAAAATATCCTATTATTTAGTCATCTGTCCCATTATTATCTCTTTTCCTTTATCTCCCACTACCCATTTTTACCATGAACTACAGGACTGTAACTTTGGAGAATTGTCATGACACACACAATAAAAAAAGAGAGAAACTGATATGCTAAAATAAAATTAAGCAAGAGAAGCTACAATTTAAGGGAGGGGGGGGGGGGGTCCAATCCACGCATGTTGCAGCAGTTTTCCATCACAATCCTGTTAAAACCCACTAATGTGACCCCCAGATTTACAGACCATCTTCACACACACACAACAGCTGAGTGCAAAAAACGCCACACCTTTCCACATGTTTTATTTGAAGATTTTTGGACATTGCCTTAACATACAAGTTCAATTTTCACATTTCATTCCCCTGCGACCTTTCCCTTTAATGTAACCCCTATGTACAAGTATTGCAAATTAGTCATGGCAATAATTAAGGTTTTCACTCATGCTAAATGTCCTCTAATGCATAGTTTGGACCAAAGGGCTCCAAGTCTCAGCCCTTTGTGTGTTTCTTCTTTGATGACTGGATGCACAGCTGTGGGTGCCAGCGAGGTCCACAAGTCAAAGAGTCTACCGCCCGAAGCACATTACCCTGATGTAGAAAACCAGACCTCTGCTGCTCTCGACTCAAACCGGCTTGCAGATGATTCAAAATGTTGATGAATGACAAAAAAATGTCAATCTCTGCAGGAAAAAAGTCCTTCTTTAATACAGCTTTTAACCGTGTCACTGTGCAGTAAAACTCCGAACAGTTTCCACATTTTATTTCATGCCATTTAAATAGTTCTCATCTTTTCTACAATATCATGTTTTTTAAGATCCACAAAAGCCTACATATTACCGTAACATACAATGATTATCTGTGAAAACAGCTCTTCCTGAGAAAGGTATGTAGTTCGTAAGAGTCTCAGTTCTTCTCATACAAACAAAATAAGGCGAGTAAAGATTGTCTGGTAATCTTTTGTTTTGCATTTTGTTTCCAGAGTGGCCTCTGACATTTCTTTAAAAAAAACAAAAAAAAGTAATCGTGATGTCTGAAAGTCAAATTTCCCTTGCTCCACATTCTTAAAAATCTTATAGGAACGGCAGCTCAGCATTGCACAGTCCCAAAATCCAAACCTTCCAGTTGGAAAAATATGTGATTGTGCTTGTGTGGTCGTTGTTGTCCACTTATTTGTCAGTGGGAAGCCCTTAAAGAGTAATGCTGCAGCCAGTTACTGTTTCTCTCCACCTACCATGCGATTTTGAAAATATTAGGGACAGATGTGAAGAGAAATTAGGGACTTTTTGTCTTTTAATTTCAGGAAAATTGCGCCTAAACACCTCGAACTGAAAACCGCCTGCTTATTTTATCCACTGGAGGCAAAACCTTTGCAAGATAAATACAGCACCTGGAAATCTGTGCTCAAATTTATTAATTGTGACAGTCAAGGTTGTCATTAATGAGTAAAAAATACCCCAGTTTATAAGTCCAAATAAAAAGGTGTTTCCCTTTGGAGCTAACACTGTATCACTGCCGCCCGAGCTCAGCTGACGAGGATAAAGTTGGCCTTCATTTGCTTTGGAGGCTAAAATAGCTGCTCACACCAACAGAGCGACTATCCAGTGTCTCTGAAAAGATCTGATTCAACTTCATTCATTAAAGTTTCCCTCACTGAGTTTTCTCCCGAGTCCACTTGATCATAGTCTCTGGCGAGCGGTAAAGGAAGATGAGTTTAGAGTACATGTCCTCCTCCAGGTCCAGCTCCCCCGTCTCTCGCACCAGGAAGATATCGGTGCACAGCTTGAGGATGCGGTCCACGTTGGGCAGCTCCTCGAACATGATGGTGTGGGAAATGCCACTGAAGAACTCGCGCACAAACTTGCCGATGACCAAAACCACAGAGGCGTACAGGCCCATGATACTAAACAGGAAGGAGAAGAAGAAAACATTGAGATTTTGGATTCTTTCAAATTCTTATTTCTCTGACTAGAAATCCAAATATAATGTATCAAAAAGGTAAAACATATGATATTTGACAAAAGCTGTGAATGCTGTACTTCTCTATGATATTCTAAGAAAATAATTTGATTGTTCTGTATCCCAACTGCCAAAGGATGCGGTTAATTTTTGTGAAGAAAAAGTATATGAATCCATCCCACGCTGTCTCATCAGCATCCAGCCATAACCCCATTTTTGGTCATTTGTCTTTACATTTTGATTTTGTATCATATACACATAAAAAAGAACTCAGGCGAATCCTCCCTTAGTTATGCTGCAATAAGCCTAGGCTGCTGGGGGCTTCCCATGATGCACTGCTTCAACTTCACTCAAGAATATGTAATATTTCATTTATTGCTGATAAGGGTGTGTCTCGCATGAAAAAAGGGAAATGTGACAATTTGGTAACAAAAACTCAGTGAAGCAAATATAGTCCACCAACACAGCCTGCCTATTCTGTGTCAGTGTCTTTAACTAAACATTCAAACTGGTTTTAAATACATTAAAATAGTCTGATATGAAATGAAATTAATCAGTCAGATTAGTTTCAATCAGTAAGCATCAGTTCCTATCCTTACTTACTTATCTTGTGACATTTTTTTACATATAAACACAAACATTTCACTGAAATACACAACAGAATATCACAAACCACGTACCCATATCCAGCTAGAAAGCCCAAACTGGGCGGGCTGACTTGGTCGCTGAATACGAACAGTTCCAGGCCTGCAGACTTTAGATTGGTTAGATTGGTCTTGCTGGGCTCTGTCTGATGGACGATCCACCATTCTTTATCATTGCCGTCATTAGCTCTCTTCAATTTCACCTTAATGTCATAATATTCTGGGTGACCGTCCGTTTCTACGATAAAGAAATAAAGAAGTTTTGTCAGAAAATGTAAATCAGATTTATTTTGGAAAAAAATATACAAAAGCTTTGTCCATCAAAAGTAAGTATATAAATTGATGTTAAAGAAATTTACTCACCCATTAAATAAAATGGCTTATGTACTTTTTGAAAAGCATGAATATGTTTTGATATTTAATGGTCAGAAATTCTAATCTACTACATCTCCTATTGAGATGGAGCATCTTTACTATTTTTTTTCTTTACTGTTACCAAATCAAATAACAAGGATGAAAAATTCACATCACTCTAACACTCTGTACACAGTGACAAATACTCGGTCACCTCTGTAAAGGCTTTCAACGGGTTTGGACTCCATATCGCTGGGTGCTCGAACATAGCGAGGGAAAACATTTGTTAGTGTCCTGCAGGAAAAGAAAAGCTGTAAGTGCTTGCAAGTTAATATTTTATAAATATTATAACAATTCTAATGATTATATTATATTATGGTTTTGTATGTTATAGAGGCGTGCCTTACTAATTGTAAAAATGTTTACTTTTTAACAGATTTGTAAATCCACTTCAGTCTAACAAAGCAAACATCACATATTCACATATTTTTCCCAGAATTCGTCGCTTATAACCAAATCACACCAAACTGTTTATCGATTAAAGAAGTTGTCTTTTTGCACATTTTAATACATTTTCTGACAAAAACAAACATCCATTGATGCTTCACAACCAACGGATGATGTCAGCATGGCTTCGTCCATCTTTTATATACAGATTATGTTATATTTAAAAAGACCTTGTCTCGCTCCAAAACACACCAGTCAGTTGAAAAATATGCTACCACTAAGTGCTGTTAGGTTTTATTGTTTGCTAGGTTAGTTTTGCCCCTGTTTCCAGTCATTATGTTAAATAAATGCATATAAGTGACACCTGTCTTCACATGTCACTGTGGACTTGCTTTACTAATACTCTCCATACTTAATTTATGTACAGCCATAAAATTTTAATTGCCACTTTCGAAAATAAGAGGGAAAATTATTTAGCTGAGGGGGAACATTTAGCAGCTCCTGGTTACTAGAGAACACAAACTGGCAAAGAGTAAAGAGAAAATGTGTGGCTGATACTATACTCACACTTCTGTTATGTTACGTTCATCTTTTAACAGATCTATAAGGTCCTGTTTTATGTTTTCGTCTTTCTTTGTAAGCGACCTTGTTTTTTTTCCAGATGCTGTTTCTGCCTTGGCTCCCAGGCTGGCGTTTCTAAAGGAGAAAAAACATACTTAAATTATGCTTAAGGAATTTGTATCTTTACATTTAAAATTAAAATGTTGTTCGATGCGAAGCAAGGTAATTGGGGTTATTATGAAAAAGCAGATTTGCAACAAAGCTGGTAGACTGAGGAGAAGTCTTGTGAATGAGGGACAATTTAACTAGCACTTGCTGATGTCTATGGGTCAAAAACTTTGACAACAAGGTATGATGAATGTGTATGTATGGCTGAGTGACTCCAGTGTCAGGAGTGGCTTGGCCCTCCCTATATAATAGGCTGACATTGTCATATGTTATTCAAAACAAGCCCACTTCTTCCTCACTTCCATAGCAAGGAGGGTGGTCCCCGGTTCTCTTGAGTAGCATGAGCATAACCTTATGTTCTCTTTCACAGCATTTATTTCATCTCTCACTGTGGGAGAAATACTGACTCCCTGATTCCGAGACATGCCTGTTAAGAAGACAACTGTCCCCCAATAACATTTCACAGAGGAGACGCTCCCACCTGGGAAGAACCTACACTGAGGGCTGAATGCACCAGGTTAAGTGCTGTCACATCTAGCTTGTAAAACAGATGTGCAGATGTGTGAGGTGAGGGCCAGCATCCAGCTGAACACACCTCCTAAAAAGAGCCCATGAGGTTGTAGTGGGGACCCCTAACGTGCCCCAGGCCAGCAGGAGGCTGAAGACCCCTGTTAGTATAGGGCAGGGTAATTGCTCCTACTATCCAGTGGGAGAGGCACAGTTTGTGCCTCTCCCACTGGACACAGCACACAAAAGCTGGTCACCCTGGGTTCTGTCCATATAAACAGACAGAGCATAGACTGGACACAAGGTTGCGCCTCTGAGGTGAAAGGTGTCAGGTAAAAGCCCGGCAGTTCTATGGGGGAACATGTGCTCTGAAGGCTGGCCTTTCCCTTAGAGATGGGGTGAGGACTGTAGTATTTTGGAAGGGACTCCGAGTAGAGCAGCTACTCTTCCACATTGATAGGCGCCAGTTGAGGTGATTATTGCACTTTTGCCAGAATGTCATTGATCTTACGTCTTCGGTCATACACTACTTGTAATGTGATGTCGATGCTCTTTAATAATTATCTTTTTTGTTTCATGATGATAAAATAAATAACTTTTATTACTTATTAATTAACCCTTTACTAACAGTTATTATAAAGTTTTACCTATCTGGAAACACATTTGTCCCTGCGTACCTTTGCACAGACCAGGACACAGTGATGGAGAAATCATTGGTAGAGTTCAACATCTCTATCAAGCTAGCTCTGCTGGGCGGACTGATGGTCCACAGAGAGTTGGAGCTGCCTTTCAATTGAGCAATGGTCAGGTCCTCATAAATGTAGCTCTCCAGCCACTGCATGGCGTCCTAATCCAAACACAAAATCAAACAATTGGAATAAATATAATTCAGTCGCACTAAACCAATAATCTGTCAGCTAAGCAAGTTTAAATTAAGGTCAACATGCACACATACACAAATGGACTGTTGATTGCTAAAACTGTTTCAGATTCAACTATAATTCAACTATCTAACTATAATCTTCCACTGAATATTAGTACATATCTTTTTGTCCCCTTCAGGAAAAAGTTATCCCCTGATTTAAGGGTATGGATGGATCTTGCTAACCAAATTTGCTAGCCTTGACCTTCTCAGTCAATACGTAAAATAAGCTTCCAAAACCAGTTGATGACATCATCGTTGTTACGTCGATCCTTTTTACTGTCTATGGTACTTTAGTAGAGAAAGAACTACTTGCATTATATGGGAACTACTTTACATCAGAGATAAAAAAAAGTATTTATTTCTCAAATTGAAAACACATTATGGTTTGTAAATTATGATCTTCTATTTGTATTTGATTTCGTATACTTACATCTTTCTTCTTATAATATTCTACAAAGTTACGAAATTCCTTTTCCGTCACATGCCACAGTTGCTTTTGCTGCGCGCTCATGGTGAAGATGGGCTGTGGAAAGACAACGTTTTGAAAAAAGTCTAGTTAAAGGTGAATACACCTCTAATGATTTTACACCAAGCACTTGTTTCTGGTGAACTTAATTTATTCATACAGATTAATGTGCAGTAACTGTTGTGAAACTATGCCTGATACACACACATACAAACACACTACATTAAATCCTCCACCCTAAATACACTAAAATATCTCCCTCAGTCCACAGGTACCACATAACCATAAATGTTACCTCTAGACATTTGACAAAGGACCTGTGAAAAGAGGTGCCAATGATTTTATATAAGAAATTGTGTCCACACCTGAAAGCCTGCCAGTGTGATTTCAAATGAGACATCCAGCGGAGTGTTGACGACTCCAGCTACAGATTTCACGAGGGACATGAAGAGCAGCGGAAACCATACTATACAGATCAGCAGCACCACAATCATTCCTCCCATCCCATACTTCACCACTTTCTTCTTCTTCTGGCCTCGTGGCTGGGGATACCTCTGCAGAAGGATGACAGAGAGGACACTGAAATAAGTTACTGGTATTAGATGGAGAACGTAACACAGAATTCCCCCTGATCCTTTGCTTTAACAACAAAGTCAACGCAATTTTTTTGACAAATTTGTAAAAGTAAAAATGTGCAAAAAGTTTCATGGAGGGATATATTTCAGACTGACTGGGTAACAACTACGAGAGAGCAGTGAATAAAGATATTTTCACTTTTGTTATTACAAATGCAGAGAGCTGTGCAAAATCTACACATCAGGCACAACTTTCTCATATGCAAGCTCTCTCTCTTTCTCTCTGCACAAATTTTTCAACTATATATATATTATACATACTACATATATATATATATGTGTATATATATATGTATATATGTATATATATGTATATATATATGTGTGTATATATATATGTGTGTATATATATATGTGTGTATATATATATGTATGTATGTATATGTATGTATGTATATATAAGATTTACCTCCATAAATCACAAAAGTGAATTTCAGTTTAAATTCCAACATGACAGACACTGGCCCTGAAACAGATTTTTTTACACTACACTAGTGCCACGATGATAAACACCTTCTCTGACTCTCTCCAGCATTTCAGGATAAAGATGTGAGCGTAGATGTCCTCCACACAGATCCAGCTGGACAGAGACAGCGAAGTGTCGGTCCAAACCCAGTCCATCACGGCTCGGAGCTCCGTCAGGAAAGGTACTAGACGGAAACTGAAAACCACATATCTTCTTTATTAATCTGGCATAATGTGAAAGCTCATGATATTATTGCTTATATAACAAGATATTCCTTTAGTCTACAGCATACATGCCAAACTTATTTAGCTTCCTGAATTTAAACCATAGCGCATAGCCTTCACATGTAGAGTATTTTGGAACTACTCAATTTAATTCAATTCAATTTTATTTATATAGCATCAAATCACAACAACTGTTGCCTCAATTCACTAAATAACTTACTTTTAAACAATATGCAAAGATTTAGAAATATTTTTTTGTAATTTTAAATACATTTTTTATTTTAAATAGTAGTCGTAGTTTTGTGTGGTTTCAGTCCTTTGTATTAAAGTCGGCATGACCATACAAGAAACAGCAGTGCACTGTATTTGTTTTTACACTGCTGGGCTCATCCTCTCCTTCGAGACATCCCTTCTCTTTGCTGGTGACCCGCCATGTATTTTAAAACACACATTAAATTGCTATTCAGTGAATAAAACCCATTTTTGTGGCTTTTTTATGATGAAGAAATAACACCAAAGATTCCTCTTTCATTCAGTTTAGCCAAAAAATAATGATTTTTTTGTTATCAATTATAGATGTGTGGAAAAGTGGATATAGATTAGGTAGAAAAAGTATTGTGTTTATTAATTTCACACCCTTTTATGCATAGCTTGACTTTCATATTTTTTAGTTCACACATGTTCTGGAGGCCTTCCCAGTGGCCTGATGGTGATTTTCTTGTTGCTGGTAAACAGTGAATTTAATCAGCAAACAGAGCTGTGCAAAATCTACACATCAGGCACAACTTTCTCATATGCAAGCTCTCTCTCTTTCTCTCTGCAGCTTCCATGCCCGCAGGCTCCACATGCAAACTCTCTCCCTCTCTCTGTTTCTGTCAGCAAGGCAGGCAGTGTGAACCATGTAATGTTAGACACGTTGATCAGATAAATAAAGAAAAAGCAGAAGGGTGAGAGACGATGAAATACAGAAGCAGCTGAAAGTACCAGCTAGCAATAGGTCAGTCTAAAACACAAGCTAATACATCTTTGGATCTAGCTGTGCAGTCAAATAAGTAATAATAATGCATATAGTAATAAGCTCATAAATCGAAGTATCCAAACAGCATATTTTAGAGATCTGTTATGAATCTATTATAAATTTAATGTTCGTGCTTACCGTTTCAGCTGCATTAATGAATTAAATTCTAAATGCTAAACTGATCAAATGTAACATAACTAGAGCGAAAACCAATGCTTATGTTTCTATACAATTCTCCTTGCAATTCTGCTTCACCAGCAGCAGCAGCAGCAGCAGCTAGCAGGGCCTTGGACATGTTTGTCCAGCTGGAAGAAATGAAACTCTCTCTGCATAACTCACCCCTGGAACAGGAAGAGGTTGACATAATTGTAGCTCTTTGTGAGGAAGTTTCCCAGAACACGGGTGGGATAACCACAGCGGATCTGATAGGCTGACAGCCCGAAGTAGATGCACTTGACAAAATACCACATCTGAGCGACTGTGTTCTCACTGAAACGTCTATGAAAGGAAGAAAACAAAGACAGCTGTTGAACTGAAAAAAGAATGCAGCTGGTTTTCTAACTTTGAAGAGCAAAATAAAATAAAAAAAAGCACAAATATATTGGACGCCATGCTGTCAGATGTATTTTATCATTTAAATTAATTAGGATGATTCATCTCAGCTCTCACGTGAGCTAAGATGAAGCGCTTACTTGTCTGTGACCTTTGGCAGGATGAAGAACATCCAGAAGTGGATGCCAAAGACCAGAATGACCTGGAAGATAACCTTGCCCATAACAGACTTTCGGAGGTAGAGGGCCCGGTCCACCACCATGGTGCCAAACTGGATCAACACCATGACGAGAAAAGCTCCCGGGACCTGATCCTCTGACAGCGATGATGTGATGTCCGCCGCTGAGTGTTTCTACAAGGAAAAGGTAAACATAAAAGTCAGTCTTATTAAGTCACGTAACAAAATTCTAATTGTTGTTGTCACTTAAGGTGAACATTGTCATTTTCTTCTGCAGATAAATTCAAAACTTACACCAAATGCCCAGAATCCAAACACGATGATGATGAAGTCAACCGTGTCAGCGAGGAACATCAGCACATAGACGTCGGTGACTGCGCTGTACTCTGGATGAATCAAGTTATAGAAAAACTGCCTCATGGGAAGATAGATACCCAAAACCCTACAGGGAGCAGAATCAGTGTTATTAGAAAGCGATCAAACAGACGCCTGAAGCTTTTTGTGTTTGTGACCTTTCTGAGACTGTGTCATTTTGTAAGGAATCTTTTACAAAGTTTCACATACTGAGGTCTGCGCAGAAGAGAATAATCAGCCTTCAGACTACTCTAAACACTAGGATGGAGGAATTTTTCAGTTGTTGGGTTTTAATGATGTCAGTGAGAATCTGATATTGCATCTACAGCCTCCTGTGTGAGCATCTGCCTGCTAATCAAACCCTCAGTTTGTTGAGGGCAGCCAATCAGAAGAACAAGAGCTTAAAGTGTCATGTGCAGTTTAACTTAGTTTAATGATGAACTGGGGGTCTTACAAAAGGATAAGATAAAATGGGATTATTTTTAACCATTAATCATACAAAGCTACTCTAAGTCCAAGAATAAAAATATGTAGTTGGAAATAAAGATAGTAAATCTGCTTTACATCTAAAAACCGCTTATAGGTTTTTTTCTGTGCGTTCAAACAAAATCACTTCAAACAAGTCTATATAACAGCACTTATTTCATATGAAGAGCTGAACTTATTTTGAGCAAAACATTGGGTTTCGGTTACTGTCTTACACATTATATCTGGGAAACCGCTCATTGCATTGCAATTAAATTTAGAACAATAACATGTTTGGAGTGTCTGTTGCAGCACTTACAAAAATGACAGTGAACGGTCTAACGGGAATGCTGTAATTAAAGATCCAAATTTAGACCTTTGAAAGGTTTAAGCTGCTGTATCACCACGGTGGTTTTCCACAGTGCATCTTACATCATTCATCAAGAATACTTGCTGAGCACACTTCTCAGCAATGCTCTCAAAACATTACAAACACACTTTATAGTCAGTAAGAAGCTGTGGGTGAAATTAAAGAGAGAGAAAAAAGAAACACAGCCACTTCAACTTTTACAAAGCAGCTATGTTTTGTGCTACCGCTTTATGATGAAAGCTTTTGCTTTGAAGAGCTGCTCCCTCAGTTTCTCTATGATCATCTGTTTGCGGGTCTTCTGATGGACGCTGGCCTCGCTGCCGCTCTTGCGGCTGCTGTTGCGAGAAGCTGTACTTCCTGTGGAAACAATTTACATTTTCAGTTTTAAATGACCCGTGTCAAAGCTCTGAGTTACTGACAAACGCAATACCAATGCAAGACTTTCTATTTATCGTTATTTTTACTGTAAAGAACAAAGTTTACGGTTACCACAAAATATCATATTTCTTCCAGGTGTTTGTTTTACAGAAATACTGCAGCAGGGGATTTCTTAAATCCACCATCCAAAAACAATTTAGTAGCAGGAAATAGCCAAAGGGAAAAAAAAGCCTTCACCTCTCTTAGATCTTGCAGAAGAGTGAAGAGATGGATGAGAAATGTGTGAGCCTCCACTGGAGCTCTTGCGCCGCTGGTAGGTCTGCTGCTGCTGCTGCGAGTAGGGCACCTGAACGTGTCCTGAATCTATGGAGGTCCCGAAGTTTATGGACCTCAGGGTCTGATTGGAGCCTCTCCTTTCACTGTTTAGTGACGAGCCCGGTTCCGACTCCTTCTCACTCTCCTCGTCTTTTCTCTCGTCTTCAGACTCAGACTGACTTCTGACTTCTTCAGACTGACAAGGTGCCTCTTTCTTTACCTTGGGGTCATCCTCATCCCACAGACCATGGCACTGGTAATGAAAGGTGGAAGGACTGTTATTTCCATATCCAAATAAGATGAAAGTGAACAGGTTTTTTTCCCCAGTCATAAAGCTGTCCTACCCTCCAAAAAGAAAAGAAAAACATAAAAATATCACTAAAATCCCTGATACATGTAACCAATGAAGCCACAAACCCTCATCGTGGTAACAAATCTTTAATTTTTATCTCAGCGTTACTTCAAATACTTCAAATTCCCAACAACATAAATACATCTTCTTTGGTTCCTTTTACAATTTCTACAGGTAAAATAAAAAAAACCCTAAGTTTATATTATCTCTGCTACACTGAAAATAAAAATTTTTCCCATAACGGTTTAGGGAGTAAATGTGACTGATCATTAGGTTTTATAACAGGACTCATTAGAAATAGTAGATGAGAGTGATCGCAGTAATCGGCCTTTCAAATATTGAGAGGTGCACGACCAGCTGACAATACAACGTTAAAATCGCTACGTGACACCCACGACGAAAGTGACGCATCGAGCATAATGGAACTTTTATTTGGCTCTTTTTTGTAATATTTAATTGAGCAGTTTTGCTATTATTATTATTATTATTATTATTATTATTATTATTGTTGTTATAGTTATATGGGTTGATTCTATGCAGTATAATCTGTAAACTAAGTATAAGTGACCAAAAAATCAAATGCAAGGCTTCATAAAAAAGCTGGTCCTCTGTAAAAAAAAAAGAGAAAAAAAAAGGAAAATATCAGAAAGCAATGACAACCCGCATTTTAGTCATTATATGACATAAAAATATTGGCAGCCACTAGCGTAACCCCTCAGCCTCAGCCTAGTAGATACACATGTGGTATCAATTTAAAAAATCCTTTGTTGCCTTGTTCTTAAATCTTATATCAGACAAGAATGGACAACATTCCTCTCTCAAAAGTCCAACAACTGGTTTCATTAGTTGCTACATGTTTACAGACTGTTGTTAAAAGAAGAGGGGCTCCTACACAGTGGTAAACATAGTTACAAGTAACGCGTTATTGTAATCCGATTACTTTTTTCAAGTAACGAGTAAAGTAAGGGATTACTATTGCAAAAACGGTAATTAGATTACCGTTACTTTCCCGTAGGAACGCTGCGTTACTGCGTTACTAAAACCGTGATTTTTTTGCGAGAATGTCTCATGACAGTGACGTAAGCGAGTGCGACGTTCGTGACAACAGCTGTGTGCAGATCAACAGTGGATCATATATCGAGTACGGAGAGAGTATGAGCGTGCAGCGTTTAAAGCGTGGAAGTACTGACCTTACTTTGAGTTTGATTCCATAAAAAGTGACAAAAACATTAGTGTCCGTTGTGCGTGGGAAGAAAACTTCTTTTTACAGCGAAAAAAAACCCTAAACTTCCAAGCAAGCACCGAGTGCGCAACGACGTAATGGGAAATTCACAGAGAAACTCGCGGATTCTTCAACTGACCGCGGCACACCTGCACCAGGGTAAAACTCCGCCTACCCTACTCCTGCTTTACAGGTGAAAATAGAGCAACAGGACCGCTGAGTCTTTGACTTTATTTATTTTCTGCTGTGTTTTACTTGCATCTATTTGAAAGAGTGAGTGTAAACACAAAAAATATTTTATGTGCTGGAATGTGCAGAAAATAGGTTTAAATATTAAACAAATTTCTTCCAGTCAGAGAATGTTGCATATAATTAATTTTTGCTTGATGCATAAAGTTAAAAGATTAAAACTAATAAAACAAGTTTTAAAAAGAGACTTTTCCATTTGATTACATTTTGTATGATGGATTATGTAGAAAAAGTAGAATTGGGCTGAAAGATCTATCACTTTATCACCTATTCAGGTTGTAAATCGTGTTTTTAAAAAGTAACTAAGTAACCAAGTAAATAAGTAATTAATTGCTTTTGAAAATAAGTAATCAGTAAAGTAACGGGATTACTTTTTTCAGTAATTAGTTACTGATTACTTTTTTTCAAGTAACTTGACCAACACTGCCATTCTTCATGAAATAGTAAAATGTCTCAGTTTAAACATCTGATGTGTTTTCTATGACCTGATGCGAATATATATATATGGGCTTATGAGATTTGCAAATCATTTACATTTTACACAGAATCACAACATTTTTGGATATCAGGGTGTAATACAGTCCTTGTTTCACACAGAAATACTAAAAAATTTAATTTTTTTCCTTTAATACAGTAAATATTTTTAAGTAAACTATAGGGAATAAGTGGAAAAGAAAAATCAAATCACATGGGAGAAAAACTCTCTCAGAAGAGGCCTAACATTGACTCTTCATATTTTGCTTTCCCCCCTCACTAACAGAAGGGATTAGTTTGTTCTGGATGGATTTGGGAGAAAATGATACAAGAGGTGGGGTTTGGAATTTTTGGCAAAGATCCTTAGACTAGAATTAGGAGGCAACATTGGACATATTTTCACAAATCCAAATCAATTTAAACCATTACAAAATGTGCCGATATGCCAAAAAAGCAGACATCTGCACAGTTTCTTTCCATAGGGCGTCACTCTCATGAATACTCAGCACTCTCTGTACTTAAACATTATACTATCATACCTGCTGCTGTACTGTTTTGCTCTGTACTGTAAATTTATAGTGTCCTCACCTATAGTATATACAGTAACTAGTCATCCATCCCTTATTTATTCGATAATTTTAGTCCATCATGTGTACCATTGCACCATAATATGCTATGTATGTCTGTGTCATGTTGATAGTATTGTCTGTCGTTTACTCTTTTCTCTACACTGAGAGCAAAGAATGATCTCGAGCCCAATTCCTTGTCAGTGCACACATACTTGGTCAATAAATCTAAGTCTGATTCTAAAAGACACTATCTTCATTTTTAAGAAAATATCACAGACTAGCTAGCTCCAAGTGTCATTGTGTATCCAGAAGGATATCTCATTTCATGTTTACAGCTTTGGAGATATGCAGTCTTAAACTGCTTTTGTTTCATTTGTTGATAATAAACTGTGCAGAACAATCCAGCAGGGACATCTAAATTGCTCAAATACTGGCTTTTCATTCAGTTTTATGTATCAGCCAGCCTGTGCTGCCAAAAGCTGGTACTTATTAATACTGGCCTTCTCAGATGCATAAATCAGTCCATAAAATGTGCAAAGGAATTTTATTTTGTCTGCAGATATTTGAAATATATTTTCTGTCTCTCTGAAAATTAATTCATGATGAAATATCAAGTCAGTGATGTCATGAATAACAAGACACATATAACGAGTGTACTTCAGGAGAATCAACTCTAAAAACAATATGCGGCGATAGTTTTTTATGGTCTTTGTTTTCATGTGAGGGAGACGTCTATATATTTCTGTGTTTGCCCACACCTTCAGGATGGACCTGTGAAAGAAGAGAGCCAGTAACTGGACCAGGTCGTAGTGGACGTAACCGTCTTTCTTCTCCACACCAATGATGTTGGGAGGGTGAAGAGGTTTGTTCTTGTCTACGCTCGAGTGGAACGGGAAGAAGCCAAACTGGAAGAAGTATTTGATGACGATGGTGACCTGGAAGGAAAACATCATCAATCAATTTGAAATACACACCAAGTCCGACTTTTACTCTGGAACCTGATGATCATCTGCTAGACTAAATGCTGTTATGTTCCCTGTTGCCTTTTTTTTTCATCTTAACTTTGTAGTATTCACTGTGGACAAAACCAACAATCTTTTCCTTTATGTTTAGATCCTTTATCTACTTCATTTCCCCCCAAAAAAAGACATCTGAAATTTGAAAATTAATGATAGAAACACACAGTTACTTAACAATTTCTTGAAAATCTTAGTTATTTATTTTGCAATATCATCATCATGTTTGTCTGCACCTCAGTATAGATGATGACAGTCATCCAGTAGCGCTTGCTGGGCCGTGGAACAGACAACATTGCCCAGAGAAAGATGGTAATGGGAAGGACCAGTGTAACACAAGAGGCTGACACCAAGTGGTTTATGATGATGACCAGGTAGCACACCAACTCTGAGTGAGCCACCAGCATGTTGTAGAGGGCGTAGCAAAGCTGGAGGAACAGAGGCTGGTTTTGGTAGAATTTATCTGACTGCTCCAGCTCCTCGTCATAAAACATCCTGGACAGACAGAGGAGGCATTAATGGAGGTCGTAACAGTGAAAAACTATTTATGTTTGATTTTTTTTTTTAAAAGACAGAAATTACATCACAACTGAATGACTCTAGAGACAGATAGTTTACTCTCAGAAGGCTTTAAGTCAGGGGTATCAAACATAAGGCCTGGGGGCCAATATTGTCACAGCAAGGAATTGAATCCGGCCCATTAGACAGCTTTAGAAAATGTCAAGGAGTGGATAGATTTGAACTCTTAACTGTAATATCATAGGTTTTACAGCTTTTTCTATTTATAAGGGCTGCTGTTCATAATAGACCAAAGTAATTAACAGAAAAACAATTAAATAACAGGAAAGTTCCTGTTTTTCCACAGTAAATGAACAAAACATTTATATCTTATAATTACAGGACACTCTGCTTAATGAATTCCCATAACTTTTGCAGAAATTTTACACATTTATCACATGATTTCACTGCTCTGCCCCACTTAAGATCATAGTGAGCTCTATGTGTGGCCCAGCATGTAAAATGAGTTTGACATCCCTGCTTTAAGGTCTAAAACTTTAATCAATATATATTTTTTAACTTACTTGTTGAGCAACAGTTCACTGGCCGTCAGTTCAGTAGTCATAGAGGGCAACATGATGTCCGACCTGCTGTCTGAGCGGCTGTCTGAGGTCATGACCATGCACCTCTTCCTATCTGTGTCACTCTCATCGTCACTAACTTCCAAGCGGTCAAAGCTGACTGCCTTGCTGTAGCTGGGAGGCACATCCGCATCAGATGTTTTAGAGGCATCTGTATCTGGAGTGTAGAGCAGCTCTGTTTGACCCTCCGTAGGCATGAGGTCCTGCTGTCCTGCACCATCTTCACTCTCAGTGATGAACTCTTTCTCCTGGGCAGAAGGAGAAGCGTGTAACTCTTCCACTCTTAAGGAGGGGCCCTCGTCTGGACCAAAAGACTCCCAGGGAGCCTCCTCTCGCTCCTGGTCCTGCTGTTCCTGTAGTCCTTCTTCACCCTCTAATCCCTTCTGCCCTTCCTCCACCACCTCTTCTTCCTCTTCTTTTTTTTCTTTCTCCCTGGGCTCTCCATCACTCAATGCCACACCCTCAGCCTCCCCAATCTCATCAAACTGTTGAGATTCCCAGGGAACCTGCTGCTTGTCTTCCACTTGATCGTGCTCATCCTCCACTTCTTCTATGGTATCAGTAGTTCCCTGTCTAGAGTAAATTATGACACACTGGGTTGGCTCACTGTGAACGAGAAGACAAAACAAAACAGGGATTGTGTCAGATGTATCAATTTATTTGTACTTTCTAAATATTGATTTGGGTTCTCAGTATATCTGGAATAAATAAAAAACTGGCATCAAGCAGAAAGCAAGCGTGTAGACACACTAATACATTTTTAGACTACATTAACCCATATTATGGAATTTTATTTGTAAGCACTGACGGGACCTAAAAATGTTTAAGGGCAAATTTCTGCATTAAAAATATATTACTTTAATCCACCTGTTTAGCCTGTTTTAACTTATTGGCAAGTTATTCACAAATTATGGGTTAACACAGCAGGAGTTGTTTTTTAATAGTGCTTCAAAAAAAGTGTTTGCCCCCATCCTGATTTCCTAGTGTCTTGCATATTTGTCACATTTACATGTTTCAGACCATAAAACCCGAGTAAATACAAAATGCAGTTTTTAAATAATGTTTTTATTGATTAAGGGAGAAAAGTTATCCAAGCCTACCTGGTCCTGTGTGAAAAAGTAATTGCCCCTTTTGTTAAATCATGAATTAACGGTGATTAACCACATTTTTTGGAAAATTGAGTTCAGTTTGACTAAACACACTCACGCCTGGCAGACCTGTTGAATCAAGAAATCACTTAAATAGAATCTGTCTGACGAAGAGAAGCAGGCAAAAAGTTCTCAAAAAGCAACACATCATGTCACGATCTAATGAAACACCTGGGAAACAAAGACACTGACATCTATCATCTGGAAAAGCTTACAAAACCATTTCCAAGGTTTTGGGACTCCATTGAACCACGATGAGAGCTATTATATACAAATGGAGAAAACTTGGAACAATGGTGAAGCTTCCCAGGAGTGACGGACCAGCTAAAACTACTCCAAGAGTACACTGATGACTCATCCAGGAGGTAACAAAAGACCCCAGAACAACATTAAAGAACCACAGGCTTCACATGTCTCAGTTAAGGTCAGAGATCATGATTCAACAATAAGAAAGAGACTGGGGGGAAAAGTCATCCATGGGAGAGTTCAAGGGGAAAACCAGTGCTGACCAAAAAGAACACAAAGGTCTGTCTTACATTTGCCAAGAAACATCTGGATGATCCCCAAGACTTTGGGGAAAATACTCTGGGGACCGGAAAACAAAAGCTGAACTCTCAGGATTTTAGTTGTGTTACATCTGGCGTAAAAGTAAAACAGCATTTCACAAAAGGAACCTCATACCAAGAATAAAATATGGTGGTGGTAGTGTGATGGTCTGGGGCTGTTTTGCTGGCTCAGGACCAGGAAGCTTTGCTGTGATAAATGGAACCAGGAATTCTGTTGTCTAGCAAAACATCCTATAGGAGAATGTCCAGCCATCAGTTCCTGACCTCAAGCTGAAACACACTTGGGTTTTGCAGCAGGACAACGATCCACAACGCACCAGCAAGTCCAACTCTGAATAGCTTTAGAAAACAAAAATGAAGACTATGGAGTGAAAAAAATAGGAAATCAGGAAGGGGTCAAACACTATTTCACACTGCTGTATGTATCACATTCTGGATTGATCATCTCAGTGTTGCATGACTGGCAGAGCCTCTGGACAATCACAATTCCAAATAATGGTCCTTCTGCCTTTTCAGTATAACGATAACCATAACAGAAGAATAATAGCTGGTTAGCGCAGAAGGCTAAGATGCACTTTAACAAATATGCTGTTAAAGTTCATCTTGTGACCATGAAAGAAATCAAGCAGACATCATTTGGGACAGTTGGAACAGCAAACCATTAGAAAGGAACTCTCCCTGTCAAAGTAAAACTATTGTTCGGTCCAACCCAAAAAAAGAAAGAGGCAGTTGTTTAAAAGAAGCAGGTCACAATTTACAAAACCCTTTCTTGTAACAAAATTATTACTGAACAACAACTTGTGTTTAAGGCTAAAAATGGATTTGTGACAGAATGAAATACAAAAGTAAAAAAGTTTGAAATAGAAGTCATGCAGTGATTCAGCAGACGTTAATAATCAATGCAAGACTGATGAAAACACAAAAAAGACAGAAGAGATGCAATGATATTTTCTGTGTGTACATGCAAAGGCCCAGCACCTGGATATGAAGCTGCTGCCGCTGTCCACTGATGAGCTGGACATATCCAGCCTAGGTGATCTTTTAAGTTTGGGCCTGGCACGCTCACTGGTTTTGGGAATGCACTCTGGCATTGCATCCAAGTCTTCCAAGGTGGATTGACGAGAAAACAGTGTGGTGGCGTCAGTGCAGCCACTGATAGGTTGTGAGAGTGACAAATGGGATGATCAGTGGTAAGAAGGATGACATGAAATCTATGTTATGTTAAACAAAAGAGATGATATTCTGCAAATAAAAAGCATCTGTAAAGATCATAGATCATGTGATGATTAACACAAAGATACAGTAAAGCATTCTGGTGAAATGGCTCAGTGTGATGATAATGTGCTGATAGAAAACTATGATAAGTTTGTTTTTAATGCATTGAAGCAGTAAAAGTATACACGTTTTTATTGCTTCTTTCACATTTGCACAATACTGCACATAAAGACAACCTGAAACCGTTCATGATGGCATCTCGTTTAGTCTTCACATTGCACTGCTAATCTACCTGGACATGCTCTCTCTGGAGGCCGTGGACTCCTGGCTCTCCATCCGGTGACCTCCTCGCCTTCTGGGGACCCCGATGGAGCCCGAGACTGAGTCGTCCTCGCTCAGCACATCCATGCTTGCCTGTCTGGACATGTTAAGCCTCATGGCCTTGTGGTAATAAACATGGATGCTCTCTCTGGATGGCACGTTACCCTGGTGGGAGGAGAAGAGATCTGATCATACGTATTCCACTGAGTGATTTTATAAATGATTCAGTGAAAGCACATTTACATTAACCCTACTTCTACATGTTTAAGGTCACTGCAGAGAGCTGCATACCTTCTTGACCTCTCGAGTCAGCATGCAGCGCTCTAAACGCAGCACAGTGGAGATGTCAATGTACTCTCTGCACATTTCATTCATCCATTTAGTGAAGCTTTCCACCGTCGTCTGGAAGAGCATCCAAGTGACCTTGATGATGTTGAACACTCGTTTGATGATGTTGTCTGATGAAGAGCACACAACAGAAAATGCATTAAACGTGGTCGAATTAAAAACTCATACTTAAATAAACCTTTTCATTAAATAATTGACAGTGTTGTATGTCCGAATGCCAGTAAAATTCCTTGAAATAATGATTTCAGTAATTCCTGCCTTAGTTCCTATCACCGTTGGGATCCTGATTTGCTGTGATTGTCCATGGGAGTCTAATCGCCAAATAGCTAGATTGATTTTTTATATTAATATATCACATTTAATTCCTACTAATTATCGCTCCTTATTGAACTAAGGTTATTGCACCCATAAATCTGTTTGGTTTTACAGGGGATTTACAAAAGTTGCACCGTTTTCTAAACACAGACACGTTAATCAATTACAGTATCAAGCCCAAAACGTATGACATTATTTCTGGTTGTTTTATTTGCTGAAACAGCAGGTTCATGAACCAGCAATCTAATAAATATTAATCTGATTTAATCACTGAAAATAATGATAGCATAAAGATTCCCACTCAAAAATACATTTTAATATGTATACCAGTTTTTCTCATGATGGAGAATTTGGTCAGTGTAAATTGGAGAGCTGTAATTTGTAAAACTGAGTGTCATAAAACCAACCTGGGCCACCAGATTTCTTGTTCTCATCGTCTTTTTCTTGCCCATCAGACAGCTCGCCAAGGTCGATGGTCACGCGACCTGCTGATGTACAGTACAGACAGTTTAGTATAAATTTAAAGTCTGTTTCAAGTCAGGAAAAAATTTCCTTTCTAGAGCTGACTTACCATCTTTCTTGCTTTTTCTGTGTCTAACTCCTTTCGTGTATCTCTTCCAAAATTTGCGCTTCGCTTTGCCTCGCGCCCTGAGAGCAGCTTTGGGGTCTGTGATCCAGGTTTGATACATATACTGGAGAAAGGAGGGTAGCAGTTAAGTTTTAATGAACGTCACTGAGGGGAATTAAGCCACAACAGAAAAAAAATATTAGAAAGTTTATATCTAATCATTAAAAGTCATGTAAATGTTATGCTGCTCTATTTTAGTATTTCTTCAAACTAGCCTAGAAATAAAATCAACAATTCATCATAGTGAACATTCATATGATTAAAATACCAATTACATCTTTTGTTTGCCTTTTAAACAAAATATGCTTGAGATTTCTTTAATGCAAGATCACCATCACCTTACTTTACACCAAATCTTTACAAAAAAGGAAAGAAAAGCGAGGGAGATAATTTTCAAAACAGTTTTTTAACTCTGACTTTGATTTCTAAAACTTGTGTAACAACCTATAATACCTATTTTATACCAAAAAAAATCTTTACCAGGAATAGGGACCACAGATCAAATCTGAATTATGTTGTACGTTACATATGTGATAGATCGTCAGAGCAGCGGGCCACATAACATGGCCATGACACACATGCAAACACCAATCAGTCAGACAGTAACAATACATAGTACAAAAACATTCTCATTCCAAGTCGAATTTGGTGATCTGTGTAAGTTTAGTGTTTTGGAACTGGATGAATAAACACATCTATTAATTTACAGCATGTTCACCAAACACGAGCTGGAAAGGCAGTTGTCTGTGGTGTTAGTTGTTATTTGAACTGGCAGATGTTCACAGAGAGAGCCAGCTGTGTTAGATGAGGGTGAATACCTTGCCTGCCTTCACTACATACTGCAGCACAGTTTTAGGCAGCTTAATGACAGATTTGGGTAAAGCCAGAAGAGCGGAGACAAACTTCCCAATAGCTCTCTGAAGAGAGGGAACAGAGTGGGGAGAGGGTTAGTAGAAAACAATTTCATACTGTTAGAAACAACAGAGGTTAATTATGTTAGGAGGCAGTAAACAAGAGGAGGACTTCAAAGCAAAATTATAGGTGTTTATTGAAAGGTTAGTGCCTACTGTATCACAAATCACATATTGTACTGCGCAAAAGTCTTCTTTATATATTGTTCTAAGAAAATGGGCTATAGGTCCAGTTATTTATTTAAACATGTGCAAACATGCATGGAAAGTGTACAGTATGTAAATTAAGATACAGAGTTTAAAATTTAATGAGCTTGACAGTCAATATTTGGTATTATCACCATTATTCTTAAACACAGCCTGAGCAGTCTTCAGGAATAGTTCTCCAGGCTTTTTGAAGGACATTCAAAGCTCTACTTTGTATGTTGGTGGTCTTTTGGTCTGTTCTCTATCAAGATGATCCCATACTGCTTCAATGATGTTGATGTGCAGGCTCTGGGGAGACCAATCCATCACTGTCAGTGTCTCACTGTGTGGTTTTTCTATCCAGGTACACTTTTACTGCATTGGCAGTAAAAGTTTGGGATCATTGTCAAGCTGTTAAATGAAGCTGCTCTCAATAAGATGCTTTCCAGATAATATTGCACGATGGATCCAAATCTCATGGCACTTTTCTGTGTACATAATTCCATAATAATTCCAGTTTTGACAAAATCCCCAACATTGCTAGCTGACATGCAGTCCCAAACCGTAACAGAAACTACACCGTGTTTTACAGATGACTGCACTCATCTCTTCTTGACCTGATGAGAATTTGAACCAAAAATTTTACATTTTTATTCCAGTTCTTGTGACTGGACTTTAAGATACTGTTCATCTACAGTAGATGGTGTTTTTCTTCTGTACAAAAATGTATAGACACAATACTGGTTCACCCCTTAAGTCAGGAGCCTTTTAATGGTTGGATGACTCATAGGCCAGTGTTAAGTGGTTTAACAAATGAAAAAGCATTCCTCTAATAAATATAGTCAGGTAGACAGACTGGACTGAAAATGAGCGAAAAAGAAGTCAATGTCCGAAGAAAACCTTTGGGAAACCTTCAGAAAGCCTGGTCACTTATTGCTCAAATCCACTTTAAAAATGACAGCTCTGGCTCCTTGGAAACAAAATATAAAGAAATAAAGGGTGGCTTAAGACTTTTGCACAGTATCATACATCCCAACTTCTACATTTAACCCAGGAAAACAGGAATGCACTGTAAGTGTAAAACTCTTTCTAGGTGATATCTTTATATATACTTATTATATTATATATACTTCTACTTTATATACTTAATTTTCATTCATCAGTTGGTGTGTTTGTGATAGTGGGAGGGTTACAGACATGAGTTGAGAAAGAGGCCAGAAAAACAGGCTATAGTTGTGGTTACAACATGATGAAGTAGTCTTCCATTGTGTTACATTGTATACACAAATGAAATGTTATGAAGTGTTATGTCTACCTGTGGATGTGAGGACAAAAAAAAAAAAACATTGCTCACTCATACACAGAGGTACGCAGTACTACAAATACTGCTGTATTTCCTCTTTCCAGAATGACACCTTTGTGTTTTAAACTTCATTTGCTTCTCCACTTCTGCTTTAAACATAGTAAATGAGCCAATATGACATCATTCACTATTTTGGCTGTTGCTATTCTGTTTTTTTAAAAAGCAAACATCAGAAGTGATGGGTGGATGTGCTTGAGAAACCTGCAAACTCACGGAGTAACAAGTTGTCAATCAGAAAGTATACGCTGGTTTATCATCTAATTTATAAATTTTTAAAAAGAGCATCACATTGTATTCAGCAAGACTTTGAAAATAGTGACTGACATCATAAACTCTTTAGGAAAGTGTTACTGTGTCTATAAATCATGGGAGAAATAGGGTAATTTTCCCATAGACTTCTGTGTAATCAGATTTGTTTTTACAATGCGAGGAGCTGCCCCCTGCTGGCCATTTGAAACAATGCAACCTGCATTCGCTTTGCTTTTATGATCCAAGGCAACGTCCACCTTTTACATATAGTTTACTATAGTTGTAAAGAAAAGTAATAGCTTAGAGAAGCCAATTAAAAACTATTTTGTAAAAAAGGACATCCATAACCATGTTCTTCTCCTTAAAATCTCTTTGGGAGAATCACAGCATTTCCCACTCTGAAGCCAAAATATAACCACCTGAAATGCTGACTTCTTTGGTGGATCGTCATCTTTTTTCTCTTCTTCCTCCTCTGCTTCTTCTTCACTGTCAGTTTCAAACAAGTAGTAGTCTCCACTTCTAACCACTGAGGGGCAGAGCGCAAAGCACTGTTACATTCACTCAAACACAGGCTGAAGTCATTTATTGCTTTTATGACATTAAAAAAAAAGCAACAGAAGGTTCTCTTGCTGTAAGGAAGAAACACAACCACATTAAACTCTACATATTTCTCTATCAAACATTTGCATATATCTATGGCTCGTTATGATATAGACGCACTTTTAAGAGGATGAAACCACACGTTAGTAAAATTAACGAAAGTATGAGCAGAAAACACAATGAGGAATGTCTGTTATTCTCATATTTCAGTCGCCCTGGAGTGACTCCAGTCTACAGTAGTTAAGTGTTAGAAGCAATGGGATAGACAAGGCTGACTTATGTCCTTGAACAGAACCGCAGTGGGCAGGAGATGAGGGGAGGATGCTGGGAAATGGAGATGAAACATCAAATGACAAAGAGATAAAATGGAGAAATAATTTGAAAATGTCATGTGGGGGTGGAGTATGATATGAGACATGAGTTCAAAACAAACAGGCAACCGCTGTATTGACTCAGGGAAATGCTGGCATTTTTTTTTATTTACCACAAACCGACTGTAAAAGCCATAATTTTACATATTTAATCACTGGTCTGATTGCTGTTCTATTTTCTCCTAGGTAATGCCTGTTTGGTGATCATGTCTGCAGGCAAAGAATGAACTAAACCTTCAGCCTTTATTCCAGTACTGAGAATGAAGGCTTGTCAGCTTCATTTCTTTGCTTGAAAATATTTTGCAATGGAGTGATTCTCTACTGTAGGCTCTTTAGGTGAGACCAGCGATGAAGTTTATGTTTTAAACAACGTCAAGTATAAAACCTCCAGACGTTAGTCATTTTCCCTTTCTTCATTGCTTCTATTTAAGGCAACCCCGTGCTGCACTCTTGCTGAGACTGGTACGCTTTTATAAACCTAAGAGTCTCGCCACACTTGCTTTGTAAAGTTACGCAAGAGCTACAGGTAACGGGGATCCTTAAATAGAGACAGAAAAAGATTAAAGTCCGGAGGGAGAAGGCAGATACTATATGATGTTGCCTTTAGAGCCCATGGGCAGTATGGGAATCCTCAGCGTTCTGGTCAAGGACACAAGGGCCAATCAGAGTGGAGGAAGAGAAAAAAGAGGTTTTGGGGGGGTCAACCTACTGGAAGCATGGTCAACCCACGGCCTCCACCACTGCTTTTTTTTGGTCTTGGCTTTCGTTGGCTGTGCTCCTAAAATTTCACAAATACATCAGTGCAACATTTAATAAGAAATTCAGTTCTGTAAACTTCAAGACACAAATCTAGTATGTGAAGCTTTTTATTTAGTTCCAATGCTAATAGAAATGACACTATTATAGACATTCTGTTCTTCTTATGAACGATCATGAACGCCCACCCTCCTTGAGTAATACCAAAACTCATAGTATTTCTACACCCAGCAGGCTTTGTCATACCATCATCATCATCCTCTTCGGGCGGGACTATCGTCTGTCCATCTCCAGAATGTTGAGCCAGGCTCAGCATCTTCTCCTTGCCCCGCTTAAACTTTTGCTGCCTCAACTTAATGCGCTCCATCCTGATTAGATCAAAGAGAAGGTGACGAGACACAAAGAATCGACACAGAGGAACAGCGTAACAGACTGACCATAAACACCTCCGGGCTTCATGTGGAAATTACTGTACGTTACGTAACAATGGAGTGCTCATTAGACAGGGCGAGTGGACATCATCAGAGCTGGTGAGTAACCCCTGAGTTACTATGAGTGGTGGAAATACATTGGCTTGATGAAGTAGAGCAGGTTTCTGGGAAACAATGATGAAACTGAGCCAGGACACACTTTGAGTCAAGTTTTTCTGCATCATGTTTACCTCGCTGTGAGATAAATTAGAGGGGGCCTAATAAAAGACGCTCAAAATCATGAAACAGACATAACTGTGTTTTAGTTTAACTCAGTGTTTAGTGATATTTTGCATTTATGTATTGTCGGCAAAAACAATAAAAGACCTGGTGCCGCTAAAGTCACTCAACTAAACTTAATTCTCATATAAAACGAATTAAACACACATATTTGAGTCGCTATGTTGCACTGCAAGACACGCTTTTCATCATTACCCCGAGTGCTCCGACTGACACCCTCACCTTCCACATCTACTCTGCCTCCTCTCTCAGCTCTTGATATTTCTCAAGCTTTTTGTGTTCCTTCTTTCTGATGTTGCTATCATTTGGTGTAGCTACATATATCACTGCAACCTTCTTCATCTATGTCCGGTTGGTTAGCTATCACCAGTTTGTCCATCTGTATCTGGAAGTCCAACGGGATCTGAGCTGCTGAGGGGGTTCATAGGCTTGAACCTGCTGAGCCAGATGGTTAACAAGTAACAAAGAGAGGGAAGGGAGCTAGAACATAGGGGATTGTACTACCACAAAGTAAGATTCTGATTCTGATTGAAGGCATCAAAGACAGCTACAAGTACCTTGGAATCCCACAGGCAAATGGGAACCAAGAAGCGCTCACAAGAAAAACTGCAACGCATGTACCACCAACAGAGAGAAGAAGTAACTGATATAGAAAAAGCCCACCAATGGCTGGAAAAAACCCGACTGAAAGACAACATAAAGGCACAAATCATGGAAACACAGGAACAAGCTCTAGGTACAAGTTCATTAGAGAATGGGATCTATCACACCAGACAAGACCCCAGGTGCAAGCTGTGCATAGAGGCCCCCGAGACAATTCATCACAGCAGAAATGAAGATGTTTCTCCAACCTTCTGTCATCCAATTTTGGTGAGCCTGGGCAAATTATAACCTCAGTTTCCTGTTCTTAGCTTCCCAAAGTGGCACCACATTTGGCCTTCTGTAACCAAGTCGCTTCAAAATTTGACCTGTTATGCATTCTGAGATGTTCTTCTGCATACCTTAATTATAATGTGGAGTAATTCCGTTACTGTTGAGTTAACGAACAGGTGTATCTAGTAAAATGACCAGTTGGTATATATTTGCACCCAAGTGCCACGATGAAGCAAGGCAGGAAGTAGTATAATTACATTTTTTTCAAGGAATGTAAGGATAGATTTCAGATAAGAGGAAAGAAAAGCAGCTAATTATAGCAACTACTGGGTAGAAATTCTGATTTAATTTAAAGAAAATTAAAAGAAAATTAAATTTCATGATTAAAAATAAAAATCCTTCACTTGTCACTGGTTTTGCTTTTTTCTTGTGCAGACAACTGCAGAGCAGTTACGTGTCTTAGGAAAATAATCACTTTTCCATTCAGCGTTGGCTCAAAAGACAGTGGCATCACAGACACATCATTTCATCAGAGGAAGGTTAAATGTTTGGAGTCTCACTGTCTCTTCAGCTGCTCCACGGACTTGCGCTCCTCCTCCAGTCTGGCTCTCACTGCCTTCACTATAGTTGCTTGGAAAAGCTCTGCACCTCTGAAAAACACAGAAAGACATTAGGAAAACATTTTGTTTGGTACGCCTGTATTTGTCAGGTAGAAAAGTTAATGCTTTGAGAAGAAATTTTAATACACGAGCATTGGTCTTGAATAAATCAAACCTGTATTTCTAATGAAATTGACTCCATGTAGCTGTCTCACTCAGTTAAATACCTGGAAGCGAGGATCTGTGATGCTCTGATATCTGCCACCACATGTAGAAAGTAGTAACTCATGAAGACTCGTCTCTGCAAGAGCAGGAAAGCAAAGCAGATACTGTCCCAGATGATGCCGGCCTCATTGCTTGGCACCTCACAAATATCCTTAGCATCTGGAATTCACATACAACACAGCCATATTTATTAATCAGGCACAACATTACGACAACTGACAGGTGGCGTGATTAACACTGATTATCTCCTCGTCATGGCACCTGTTAGTGGGTGAGCTACATCAGGGAGCAAGTGACATCAAAGTTAATTTGTTAGAAGTGGGAAAAATGCCGACCGTGTACACCCTTTCATGGAAACCTGTTTCAGCAGGATAATTCACCCTACCATGAAGCAAAAAAATGGTTCAGGAATGGATTGATGAGCACAACAAGTTTAAGGTTTTGACTTGGCTTCCAAAATTCCCACATCTCAATCCAATGCAGTATTTTTGGGATGTGTTGGACAAACAAGTGCCATCCGTGGAGGCTTGGATGGGACTTGGGTTTTTTAAATGATTATTAACTAAGTTATAGGATTATACCTGCAAGTTGTTCATGAAAGTTAAAGCAATGTTTTAGTAATGAAAGTAGAAATTTGAGTCAATTCACCCTCTGCTTACTTGTATTTATGTCGTAGCCCTTGATGGTGCATGCCAGACTGAACACCTGGATTAACCAGCAGTGGTCCTGTAGCAGTTGGTTGATGTACCCACAAGCCAGGATCTAAAAACAATGTTGCTTTATTACACACTATAAATATTGCATTTTAACTGTCAACGTATCAGTTAAAACTTCACATTTGTATTGCTTTGTAAATACTATGCAGATAATGTTTTCAAATCTCAGCAGTTTATCTCTTTTTATGTTGAATATATAGATGATGATAATGGTATTATAATCAGTTTGTCATAGATTACTTACAGATAAAATGTTTTTCATAGTAATCACAAAGATGTTGTAGGCAATCAGGAAGTCCCAGTAGTGGAGGATCTTTCTGATTGGCTTCAGCAACAGGTCTCCACCAAAGAGCAGGAAGTAGAAGCAGGCCACCAAGTAACCCATACAGAAGACGCTGATACGTGTGGTTCCAGTGATGAAGATGATAGTGAGGACAAACCAGAAAAGGTAGCTGAACATGATCACTTTTAGCATGTCCAGGTAGGACCTAGAAATAGAGAAAAACAGTTTTTGTAAATGAAAAGACAAACAAGTGTCTGGTAGTTTTGAGAATAAGGATCCTTTCAAAAGCAGCACAGTGGCAGCTCCAAATGTGAATGAAAATTCCTAACCACGCAAAGATAAATAAATAAATAAATAAACAGAGAGATCAAATATGACATCCCAACATGGAGTCATGTGAAAATGAAAGTGCATCCTCTTTCATCTGGTGACTATCAGGTTCTAACATTAGGCAAATACAACCTCAAATGAACAGCAACACATGACATATCACAGTGTCATTATTATTTATATAACAAGAGCTTTAGCATGTTAAATGTTTATAACATTATAATTAGAAAACTGACTCTGTCCACCAGCTAATGGTTGGCTGAAATTGGGTCGAGCATGTGGACAATGACCCCAAAAACAGCCGTCTTGGTTGACATGCCTCTGCAACGTCGCATAGAGACCTGGGGTGATGCCTCTGGATTGCTAGACTGAGGTAGTGGGTCCCATCTTGCTCCAGCTATAGAGGGGATCACACTACTTGCTGATGATGAGCATAAAGAGTGAAGCTGTCATAGATACAAACAGCAGAAATGAGCTTTCTCCAAAGAGTAGCTGGTCTCTCCCTTTGAGACTGAGTGACATAATATTGAACCTCCCAAATTAATCTAGTTGCATATATTTTTCTAGATCCAGGGACTCGATTCATAGTTGTTTTGGAACTCATTTTCAGTGCAGGTGGGCATATAAAGTCTTGGACTGCTTTTATTTATATTCTGAAATCATTAGAATTCTGCTTGGAAAAAAAGTTAAAAAATAAAATCCTGGGCAATTAAATGTAATTAGCAAAACAGTCGTTACTCTGTGTTCAACAACTAGCGTTTTTCAACAATTTTCAATCATGTCTCACAATGTCATCTTGTGTGGACTTATTTGAGCACTTTAATTCTCAAATAAATCCATAGAGTAAGACGTATATTTACACAAGGCCTGTTGCTGTCATGAAAAAGCAATGAGGGAGGTGGATGTAGTTGATAAGCTGATTTTAATCCCCATGGACCCCAGCTAGCTGCTATTACAGGTTAGGGTACATGTTTACCACATAGCAAAAGTCAAAAGAGAATTATCTGCTCATCATTCACAATTAGGGTATCACTTAATGTCACTTAGAATCTGATCAATGAATAGGAATGAGAGCTGTAACCCGATCCTTTCGCTCAGCACAGGTACACTGCTGCATGTCTTGCGCATCTCTAACATGCTAGGCGCATGTCTATGGCTCCATGTGAAAGGCTGACGATATGATGCGCAGAGTGGAAACATGAGATGTAGCGTGCATTAATTTCAGATACATGGGGCCACAGTAACAGCTTCAACTCTTTAGAAAGCAGCTCTGATGAAGTGGGTTTGGATGGGACGATGCGTTGAAGGGCCGGAACAGCTGAGTGAGTGTCCTTCTTCATCAGGGGGAGAAAATACCTTTTCCATACTTAAAAGCTATTTATTGAGTTAGAGTACAAGGAAAAAGCGTCTGAGTCGGGGAGTGACGGACAGAGTGTTTTTGTGGATTATGGATTTCTCCCCCCACCCCGTATCCGTAATTCGATTCTGGAGGGAAACGATGGAATAAGTGCAGAGCTGCTGTGGCATGGACAGACGGGCTGTACAGCTCTCTCTCTTGCACTACTAGTGCTTGTTGATGGACACAGAGTGCGTTAATAAAAGACTTGTCCACTTTGCACACCAAAACAGTGGAATCTGAAGAGCACATAATCAATGAGTGTGGACAGGTCAGGATGCTCTTGCTGTCTTTTTAACTCGCGCCCTCTTCCCCTCAACATCCTGCGTTCACTCTTTATGTGCAAAGTCAGTATCCAGATCAGGCGAGTTTCTAAATTATGTATACAGCATGTATTTAATAACATCCCTCACTAAACCTCTCAGCTGTCATTTTTTTCTTACCTTTATTTTCTGGGATAAAGTATTTGCTGACTGAGAACGTTCTTATTCAGCACCATCCCACTTAAGATTTCGGCAGTTACACAGTTTGCAGCCAAGCACAACAACAGTTTTCTTCAGAGCACACCTCTGACAACGCAAATGGAGGAAAAGGGGGGTGTTCAGCCTGTTTGTTGATCTATTTTGTCAGCTTGTGAAGCAGGACATGCCAGAAAAAGTCTGAAAATCAGTGCTGTAAGAGATGCAATTGTGTTATTGCAATGGGAATGTGAAAACTTCAATCTGCAGATTGTTTAGTATCCATAATTTAGTAATTCCAAAGTTGTCTTAAGTCATATACTTCTGGGGCAATAATTGCAGAGTGAGACAAACAAGGTAACAAAGTAAAACAAGAACCAACTTGAGATGTCACGAGAGTGGGTCACACACAAAAAAGCAAAGAGAATTGGAGACATGGAAAAAAAACACTGAAAATGCATTAAAGAAATAATTACAATTAATCCGTCAATCACACACATGTACATACATAACTGCAAGTACACATTTGTTGTGCTGGACTATTCACTACAAGCAATTTGAGTTTAATGTTTAGCTGAGAGATATATATTAGGCTTTATAAAGATAGAGACAACAGGGAGACAGAAAGGAAATAAGGGACAAAGACAGAAGGTCCTGAGTAGAAATAAATAATGGATACTAAAATAACCAAATGGGTTTTTCTTTAATGTTGAAGCCTGTTATACATTTCTAAAACCAATTTTTGACTGTAAAATACTTTCAAAAAGCTTTAAATACATATACTTAGCTTTTAACAGCTCCACTTGTGTGGAGCACATTTCAGTTTTGTATCTGACATCATAGATAGGCACCCAACATCATTAAGCATCAATTAGACTGGCTACTTCACTTCCTTTCCATTTCAGCATGTTGACCTCTGTCTTAATGGCGGCTGAGCCACGCAATAGCCACAAAATGATGAAAAGAGAATCTAATGTAAAATATATTTCAGAAACTGGAAATCATTTAAAAAGGTACATACAGCAATACACTTTATCCATGTAGGACTAATAGAAATATACAAGGCCACAAGGCCAACCACTGTAGTGAACAAAGCTTTGAATCAAGGATCCAGCACCAGTGCTGCCACACTAACTGACATGGCAAAAAAATGTCCTAATACACAGTATGTTGAAATAAATGTATCAAAACAATACTAAGAGTTGCACCAGCACTTAGCTGCATTTTGTAGTATACAATACAGCATGTTTTCTGGCCACAATTCTCTGCCTCAGCTACATGTACAGAACATTTTAAGGCATACTACTTTCAGTAAGTACTACTGCAGCAGTTCTTACTGAAAGCAAAATGAAAGTATATCTAATTTGGAGTGTTATCTGTGGTACCTGCAGTGGATAAAGTCGGGCACAGGGTTGTGGACGCTGAAGGAAGCTGCATCCAGGTCTCTGCAGATCTCTACATTGTCACCGGCCATGAGGCGGACAGCTGCCTTGTTCTCATCGTCAAAGACCTGCCTCTGGAGGGAGGCGCAGAGGAGCAACATGAAGTCATCTAAAAGAGAAGAGGAGATGAAAGCGTTTCTATTTGTGGAATCAGTGTTAAATCTTCATAAGATAAAACAATTATTTGATTTTGCCTGTGACGGTACATTTCCTTTACTGTATTCAAGTCTCAAATTTTAAAAGTTAGCTTAGTTATTTAGAGACTGCAGACAGACGGTCGAAGTCGAAAGTTTGTTTGCACTTTTTTAAACACCACTAGATGTGTTTGAGTGCTTTATTTACTAGTTACTTTATACATTATAATTTTAACACAAAATTATGTCATGTTGGAGTTTAAACTACGAACTATTGTAATAACAAAATGCTTCTGATATACTAATATATTAGTAAGAATAATCCACTAATATGATTAATCGCATGAAGATTTACATGCATGCTTCTAACTTCTAATGAAGGATTTTCATTTATTCTTCAAAGAAATTTTCACTTTAACTATAAAACTCACAGATGAGGAATAAAGGATTGGGCCTGCTGCGGAAATCTGGAATATAGAGCCACTTGACCACGTTGTCATTTTCTGTCCAGGGATAACCTGAAAAGAAAACATTATCATCAGACATGTGTAAGAACATCATAAAAATATCACGCTTCGCTTTGAAGAACCGCAAAAGAACGGAGCCATGACGTGTTAACGGATTAAAAAAAGAAAAAAAAGTGCATCATAAACATGAAGAGAACACCTTTTACGTGTGGACAATTTTTGTAATTACATGAAAAACAGCCTTAATTTATCTCTGAAACAGTAATGAACTGACTTTTAACTTACATTATTTAAATCATTACATACCCTTCATTTAATGAGTAATTAAATCCGATGGTAACGTGTTATTCTACAGAGGGAGTTTGTTTATTTATTTATTTCTTTTTGTGCTGCAGCCTGGCATTGCTTCCAGCTGATGGGATGGAGAGACTTACTCAGTAATAAAATAAAAATATACCAACTCGCTATGGTTTTGTTTTACAGTTTGCATGAAAATAATAGACATTTTTACAGTTTAATGCAGGGTAACTGCATTACACTGTGGTGCTCATTGTCGGTGCTAGGTTACATTAGGTTTAGTGTATCAATTTAAAATAAGCTGATGATCCTGATTAGATTCACTCATCAGCGTATAAACTTTATATGATCTTTATACAGTTTTTAAGCTTTATAGCTCATGTAAAGTTTGTTTATTCTTGTTGAGTTCAGTTGGATTCCTAAATCCACAAACAGCAGTAATTCTCAGAGCAGCAGCAGAAAATGTTATCTGATCACAGCGTGTATGCAAAGAAAACAAATCTACTTCAAATTTCTAAGTGATTCTCTTCCCCACACTTCACTACTTCACAAATTCCACTTTAACTCCTGAATACAAGCAAAGACAAATCTGCACAGTAAAAATTTCCTGTCTTCCTGGTGCCTGAAAAATTTTGCTCACCTACTTCACCATGGTGATATGGTGATGAGATAGATAAGCATCTTGGAGAATCAGTCAGTTATCTGGACCAGACACATTGTTAAGAATGGCTTCTACGAGGAAATTAATCAGCTTTTGACTCACCAAGTGTCTGGTTATTGTGAGTGCAATCTGGCACATTTGATTACACAAACCTTTACAGGCTGCAGGTGGGATCCCGATGCAGACGAAGTACTGAACAGTAAGCATGCATGCCAGAAAGCAGCAGTACTTGGGCCAAATCTCAGCAATGGCTTTCCTTCTACGTCTGTACAGCACCGCTATTAAGGCAAACGCATGAAGCATGGCATAGAAGTCCATACGCTGCCCTATGACGTTGACGACCAACAGCAGGCAAGTCTAAGGGAAACACAAGAGGAGTGTACATGAAGCAGTGTAGCACAGTACACATTTTAATAATGGGTTGCATTTATAGAGCGCTTTTCGAGAACCTCAAAGCACTGTACAATTCCATTATTCATTCACTCTCACATTCACACACTGGTGGAGGCAAGCTACAGTTGTAGCCACAGCTGCCCTGGGGCAGACTGACAGAAGTGAGGCTGCTATATCGCACCATTGGCCCCTCTGGCCATCACCAGTAGGTGGTGGGTGAAGTGTCTTGCCCAAGGACACCACGACCGAGACTGTCCGAGCTGGGGCTCGAACCGGCAACCTTCCGATTACAAGACGAACACCCAACTCTTGAGTCACGATCGCCCCAATTTAACTATTTCTACTTCATTATGCCACCTACCTCAAGTCCAAACTTGTAGAAGAAATAGTTGATGAAGTATTTGATGAAGCAGACAATGTTGATGTCCAGGTGCTGTCGTGTGATGTCATGAAAGATAATCCTGGCAGCGGGAGGTGACAATTTGTTCCTCAGTCTGAAGTATTTCTGATGGCGGTAGATGGTTACCTCCAATGCTAACAGAGCCAGCATCCAGAAGTTGTTCTGCTCAGATGGTCGGAAGAGAAATTTCCCCAAAATGCTTAGTTTTTATAAACTGTGTTTTAAAAAATATTTAAATGTGATTAAATGGGCTGAGGATTACAGACGACGGGTTGGGGAGCATCCAGAGAGCAACTTTAACATTGCTGGTTTTACTCATTTAAAGGACAAAAACTGCAGAATAGTTCCAGTTATTGGCAACATTTGATTGGCACTTCATATTTTCACAAGGTCAAGTGAATTACATTAAACTACTAAAAGTGTGAAGAAAACAAAAACACAAACCCGACTTACAAGACTGCAATCAAGATGTGATTTGCTGTATCCCTAGTAACTGATTTCAGTACTGCACATTGAAACAATTACAAAGAAAATCTAATAAGAAATTCCCTTTTGCTCTTAGACAGTGGAGATGAAACCACACAGAGGGATGATCTGAATCCCAGTCTGGCTTTTCATTATGCCAACAAACACATAATGAGATGTTTCAATATGAAAACCACTGCTAACTAAATAAAACAGAAATTCTAAGTATTCAGAGTCTGAGATCTCACAAGTATTAAGTTCCCCTAAAAGGTCCAGGGGATGGGGAAAGATACTCACAAAAGAATCTTACAAATATTCCTCCTAACTGTCAAACATATAACTCATCATCTACATAAGACTTCCGTACAAAGGTGAGCTCTACAACCCGTTGAATTACAGTTAAGCACCAGACCTGCTGTCTGTGACAGCCTGTAGTTGAAAACCTTTGCTATGAACTGTTATCACTCAATATTAGCTTTTTTTAAATACATTTTTTATACATTTTGTTTATTTTAAAAATCCAAAAGTCTTGTGTTCATCTCACTGAATAAAACACAGATCACCTCCTTCCCTGTACAGAGATTTGGAGGTGTGGGTGAAACAGAGTGACACTCGGCAGGTGACACAGGAAAGTAAAGAAAAATAATTACACAGACTGTTTTCTTAGGAATGTATTGCAGTGGAATATTTATTTGTTCTTTTTTCAGTTGACTGCATTTTGTGGAATTTTGATATTATTTCAAATTAAATACTGACTTTAAACAGCCAAATAGCACTAGGTTGGTGATGTGTTAAACATCTCATGTTTGACTGAATTACCCAAATCTGCATGAATTAAACATGAAATAGAGATTACTGCTGACATAAAAGTTAATAATAATTAAAAAAAAAAAACGCATTACAATTTTCCTGTAAACACGGTAGTTCTAAATTCATAATTGCTCTATAAATAATAAAGAATAAAGAGTCTAATAGGCAGTGTATAACAACGATAAAAGAACTGTGGTTCATTTCGACCTTACCCTCAGGTAGCCCAGCAGGTCGTCATACTTCCTGAGGCCCACCCAGTTGGCTGGATCCACTCTTCCGTCATACAACAAAGATTCTGGTAACATTAAACTCTTATTTGTTGAGTTTCTGCATAACTGTGGACAAAAACACAATGGGTCAGTTTTCCAGTCTAGTAGAATTAAAAACTAGGCCTAAAGTAGGAATTATGTTTTCATCAAACATGGTCAAAGTTTCAAATATCGAGTTCCGTAAGAGTAAGTCGCTATGAGGCAAAATTTCAGGCTGCTCAAACGCTAATTTTAAGAAAGACTTTTTCTACCCTTGGCTCTGAATGATGTCAGAGAGAGCAGATATAGCCTATTTTGGTCATTTCAGACACACTGCTTTGGTTGTAACCATAGAAGTCCCACCAACCTGTAATTTAAACTTTCTTTTTATAAGGGTCAGACAATGGGAAGACACCTAGCTCAAAGGCAGAGGATCTAAAACAACTTGTTGTTTCAGATCTCCTGGAATGGATGAAGTGAGTAGCTCATCTAAGGTGAGTATACGATAAACAAGGCTTATTTGATCTGTAAATCATCCAAAGCTTTACTAGAAGAATCCAAGAATAAAAAATATGGAGCTTCAAAGAACCATGGTACTTTAATTCAAATCTTGGAAACTAGCAGTAAGGCTTTTTGTCTCTTCTGGAATGCAAACATTTTATTCCAGAGTTTTTATGCCCAATGCCAACAAAAATCATGACATAAAGCAGGCGCACATCAATCAAAATCAAGAGAATCTACAAAAAATCTGGCTTTAATTAAGGATAATAGGGACAATGCTAAAGAACAGCATGTATTCTATACAACTTTGGTTGAGAAGCATTAATATTTACCAAAGTGCAGTTCTTGGAGTACTTGCTGGGATCTATTAAGTCCAGCTGGTACAACATTTTACATACAATGATGACACACGTCCAGACAGTGCAAACACTAGAGGCAAGGGGCCGGTACTGGCTGTACGGCAGTGCAAACGCCCAGGATGCAAGGAACACATAGTTGAACAAAGACACCTGGACAAAAGACAATAGATGTGATGAGGACAAAAAAACTTTGTCATTCATACCTCTTTTCGACAGCTACGGCTATAAATTTTTAACAATACACACACACACACACACACACACACACTGTACACTGAAAAGAAAACAGGTGTAAATCAGTGATGATTGAAAAATTCACTGAACCAGCAGCAAAAGAAGATCAAAACTACGCTTCATGTTTGATAAACATCGTCATTAATTCCCTCTTACTTTTGCTGCCAACACAATTGTGCACAGCGTTGTCGCTCGCTGTTTCGCCTCCGACAAGAAAGGCTCATTTCTGCTGTTCAATACCGAAGAAATGTAAACTTAGCTGTGTCTCCAATAAAACCTCTTTAACATTGCTCTGTTTCACTTCAGCAGCATCAGGTAATGTTCATATGTTGATTCATGGTTTTCTTCCGTTTTTGATCTACTTGCAGAATAATTTATTTGATATAAAAAGTCAGGCCAGGAAAATCTCCTTCATATTTTTCAGTTACTTCGACACAAAGACATCTGCTGTGATGCTCCCACCTCTTATTAAGTCTCACAAGTGTCAGCTTTGTATACATAGATATAAAAATAAGCATATGTACTGATAATTTATCAGAATTATAATATTTCTGACTGTCTCAGTCAAAATTGGGACCTTGGGAATTGGAATCGAATCGATAAAAGAAACCGATCGATACCCAGCCCTGACACTGACACTATACTGTGTCATCATTTATTTATCAAAAACTAATCTAAAAAGCAGTGACCCAGTAAAAACCTGACCTACATGAATTCCTATGAGTGGGCTAAAATTCCTCCACAATGACGTGGGAAGCTGATGAAGCCAGATAGAAAATGATTACTGTACTTTAAGTTATTCAGGAGGCTCTCTAAGCTACCGAATAATGGGGTGTACTGTTTTAATACACGGTTTTTTATTTTGGATTAACTTTTGTTAAATTAATAATGACACTATTTTTTAGCTTATCTTTTTACTATGACTGTAAAGACTGTCAAATGAGTTTTCATAAGACTGGTATGGTTATCCAAGTTAAACTTCATAGTTCATGTGTAAACTCAAAAAATCTCAGACTCTTCTTTACATCTCCAAAGTGTAGAAGCTGTTACAATTCTCCAGAATCCCCCACACTATTATTTGGTTTGTATGCGATATAGTAAACAGTTCAATTTAGATTAGTGCTGAACGACATCAGCTTTATTTGTGTATCTGAGAAGTAATCACACTAAAATAGCAGCGCCTCTCCAGGATATACTGCGGAGTGCTAACAAAGGCAGGAAAGAGAAGATGGGACCCAAGTAAAAGCAGTTATAAACAGTACTCAGTTTTAGCACCAACAGGAAGGGAAACACATTACCACCTGTGGTGTTTGATATGAAAGCTGACCAAATAAAATAAAATATGACTTTCAGGCAGGTTTAAGTTTGTCTTGCTGCAGGTACAAAAGTAAGTCAATTCTTCAGCTTTCATACCTCTTTGATAGCAACCATGACAACGTAGCAGGAAACGATCTTGATGATATGGATCTCCAGTAACCACCAAATGAACAACTGCAGTTTGTGGAAATACTCCAGGAACTTGAGGAAGAGCACTGTCAGACGGTCAACCACAAGGTGCCATTTATTCTTCAGGTCTGAGGAAAAAGAGACAAAAACCAGACACGTTTAAATGGGAAAGTGACAAGACTGAAGAGGTGCAAACGGAAAGTGTTTAAAAACTAATATCCCTGTTACTTCTATTTTTCACCTGCAAGTTTGTCAACTTAAGCTGGGAGATTGCACAAGCTTCACTTCAGGACAACGTTAGCTGCCATTCCACATGTTTGTAATTTTCTACAGTTCATTCAGAAATGAAAGGCAGATATACAGTTCCTTCTTTATAGCCCTTTATATATATATGTAATTGATGCAGCCGTGGTATTTTTAGAGTCATCCCCTCTATTGATTAAAAATAAATCAATCAATACAGATTCATGTTAGATTAATATGAAGCTAATAATGCATATTAATCTAACAAATTTAAAGAATGTTTGATATCAAAGTAAAAAAGTAAAGAAAATAGTGCTTTTACTCACTAATACCTTGCTGTAAATATTTAATTAAGCCTAAAACAATTACTCCTCCACTTCATTAGTCTGTTTACAGACGAAGAGTAAACTATTAGAAACTAAATTCAAGAAATGTAATTTCAATTTTTTGGTTACTTTATGGTAGCAAACATGTGTTTCATATTAATTCTGAAGCTGCTACAGGATTGTTAACATCATTTTTTCCAATATTAAAGTTGTGAAGTTTGATGAGAATGAGCTTAAAAAATGTATTAACAAGCAAATTCCAAACTGCTGTTTTATTTAGCTGAGAAACAGGACTTTATAATTTGTTTCATATTCCCATAAAAACCACTATATTGTGGTAGAGCGTGTATACGTTTACAAAATCCATATTATCTCAGGCTTTAATAGAGGCCCCATTGTTTGGCTAAGAAACTCTGAGAGAATATACCTCGTACAGCCCACAACTCATTATAAACTAAGAGGCCCTGCAGGGCCGCAGGGTTGTGTTTTATCACCCATTTTATTTTCTGTGCATGCAAACAACATTTTCATTCAAGACTGTCTGTGTAAATATGCTAGTAATGCAGCTTTGGTCGGCCTTAGCAGGAGGGTAAAAGCAGGCGCTTGAGCTATGTGCTGTGTCGTAATGCAAGATAAATCGGCTGAAAACAAAAAACCTGCAGTACAACCGCTTTTACAAATTCTGCAGCAGTGGCTGGCTGGTGTGAGCGCAGGCAGAAGATACCAGGGCGGCAGCACAGAGCTTTGACCTTTAAAGACCACAATGAACTTGAGAGCAAACTGAAAAACTAGAGGCTTAGCACTAAATGCATGATGCATGACTCGTGCGCTGGCTAGGTTTTTATTACCATCGCGCGTATGTCTATGACAGCTACTTGCAATCAGCATGATATTAATGTGCCATTTCCTTTTATAAAAAAAGAAACATGCTGCTTTGACAGAAATGTTCCGTCACAAACACAGTTTTGACATTAAAGTTTATGTGGAAACTAATGCTAAAACATAATTATTGCAGTTTTAAATCAAATTTCTAATTTACTGACATACAAACAGAGTTTTATTTTGATTAAGATGTGAAATTAAAATTATTTACTTTCATTCTTGAATAGAAAAATTTGTTTCGGTGGCTGAATGTTTACGCTTGATTAATGTCTGACTTAGATATTTCCAAAAACTTTAAAGCTTTCACCCACAATGCAATAGTTTATTAGACCATCAGCCAATGTAAGGTGCCCTAATTTAACAGGATTGGTGATTACCAAAAATCATTTTTCTTTTCTGTAATGGTTAATCCACCAGTATGAATTTGCTCTTTAATCAAAATTGTATTTTTAATACTAAAGCATAATTGTTGTCGTTAACCATGAACTTCTAAATTAATCGTTTTATATAAAAAAAATTTAAGATAATAAATTCTAAATGTTTATTAGTGTTTCTATACAGAAAAAATATTTTAGTAGTTGAATGTTATGCTTGATTAGACAAAAATGAATTAGATCAAGTGAAATATTTCACAGTATTTTTGAAATCACATTTAAGGTCATGGACCCGCCGTGCTGCTCAGTACCTGAGCTCTGCTCTGTGCTCGGCTCCGGCTCAGTCTTCGCACTGCACTGTTGGCTCTCCTCTGTGCTGGACTGCCGTGGGTCAGACAAGCTCCCGGGCTTCTCATTAGTCATGTCAGTGTCATCCATCACCACCACCAGGGCCTGCTCCTTCTCTTTCTCCGTATCCCAACCCTCCTGCATGTTCTGCTTTACATGTGTTTCACATTCCTCTCTGAGAAGCATCGCGTCCACCGAGCTGGCACTGAGCATGCTGAGGTCTGGCAGGCTGCCATCTGGGTCCACCAGTCTGAAGACACGGCAGAAGTTATTACACAAAAACACACACGAACACGCAACCCTGGGCACAGATCTGTATTAATATACATATGAGGACCTTCTGTGACTTACGGATTTTAAATATGATTGCTCCTGTTGTTGTTAAACATTTTATTATTTATCATGTTGTTATGGAACTGTACAATTTCCATATTTTGTGTGTTAACCACAGAGTGTGAATGGTGTGAACCTGACAGGACAGCAGTAATGGTTGTGTTTGTACAGGTTCAGGACTAATGTGTCTTTTTTTGTTTTTATTTCCACTTGCTATCTTCATGCCAGCACTCACTGCTGTTGCTGGTCTGTTTTTATGTCCAAATAATCCATTAAAAAAACGTCATATTATATGCTGTAAATTGTAATTGTGGATCATGTGGCAACTAAATTCAAAACTTCCAATAAAGGCATTATTGGTTCGAGCATGAATACACTCCTAGATTTGATAATGTTTTTACCCATATTTCCTTTAGGTAAAGGACAAATGGGAAGTGAAGACATATAAAACCCAAAAGAAATATATAAAAATAAACAAAATTATAAACAAAAAAAAAGACTAGAAACTGTTTGGTAGTAGAGATATAAAAAAAAAAAATTTAATTCTCAATCCTTTATCGATACAATCCAACCAGCATTTCTTGTGATAAAAATCTTCATAGTTGGTATTTAGTGGATACAAATTTTGGTGACCATTGGGTCATATATGTACATTTGAAGATTATTAATAAATAGTTATGATAACTGTTTAAAAAGGAGGCGACGGGATACATACAGACATATCTACAGGGATATGCTACGATCATTATTGTAAGATAAGAAGAGGTGTTCCTCGTAAGTTTTTCGTCCTAATATTCCATAAATTTATCTGCATCTGATCTTAAACTCGACCAAGACATCAGCACAGTGAACAAAAACCAAATCCCTAAAAACAAAAAAACAAAAGAAATCCCTTTTATTATTTTCTAAGGTATTCTGTCCTCATAAGTATATAAATACTTGAAAAATTATACACAAGGTGAAGATGACTGTCAAATGACTCCGATGCAGGATGGGAATCTGCTCGTTCTGCTAACTGAACAACAGAGCAGTGTTTCATCAGGCATTTCAAACTAAAAGCAGTGCACATTCCTGCTGCATTCTTTAAAATATTCATATTGTATTCATGGTGTCTGATCTTTGAGCAGCAGATAAACAATTAAGGGGAGGCTTTAATCCTTCAATGTCTTTTCAGGCAATAATGGAGCCATGTCAAGGTTCAGGTTTGGCTTGCACGGACTGGCTGCATGTCAAGACGAGCATTTTGGTGTTTGGTAGTCACACTTACTTGCTCTGTGGAGTGGGAATTTTTTCTTTGATGCTGCTCAGAACAATATAGTTACACAGAAGTCATCATAAACAGTGAGAAGAGAAACTGACACAAAAACAGACTGAAACGTCATTTTAAAATGCACGAAAACTGGCTGCAGGACTCCAGTGGTTTGGGTGAGGCGAGCTTTTATAGGAAGGGGGTAATTTTCTGGGGTTCAGTGCATAGATCAGGGTGTGGATCAGTGTAAAGCTAGTGGAGGGGAGCAAGAACTTTTTGCAGTTTTAAACATGCATGAGTAAGTTTGTTGCCTGTCAGAAGTAGAACATTTTTTATTAAAAAACAAAACATAGAAAATCCAAATAAGAGAGGCTACAGGCAAAATAAAGAAACCCCAAAACCCCAAAAAAGAAAACCAGTCATGTCATGAAAAATACTTGATCTTCAGGTGCAAGATATTTCAGATTCTCAATAAAATACCATCAAAAACAAGGTAACGGGGTAAGTCACTGTGGGTGCTGAGGATGTATTGCAAAAGGAAGAAAATGCTAAGATTCAGAGGTGACATGGGATGGTGATTGATGCTACAGAAAGCGAGCAAATACCCACCTATTCATGATTAAATAGACACGCCCATTGACTTTGGCGTGGCTGTGAGTGAAACAGGTGGAGAAGATAGAAAGCAGCAGGTGACGGAGAGAAGCAGAGGGAAGAAGAGCTGAGCAAGTGGTAGCAGAACAACAAAATCCACAAAAACAACGCTAAAGTTAAATGACCCATGCCGCAGACTGTGAAATGTGCATGTTATGACACACAGCTGCACGACACAGCACGCAATGACCGATGAGGTTACAGCGGCCGTATAACAAGGTGTGACATAAAAGCGGATGAACTGGGTTTTACATGCATACTTCGTGAGTAGTGGACATTTATTGCAATAATTATCTACTAATCAATTTGCACTGGAGTTGTGAAGTACAAAATGTAACAAGCAGAAGTCGGGGTGGGGCGGCACAGCAAACTAAAGACTGACTGATATATCGGATGACCAATATACTGCATTACTGCATGACCGCATGGGCCAATATTTTCCGATATATCAAGCATATCATTTTCATTTACTGGCTGATAAATGAAAATTTAAAAAAGCAAAGAGGAAAAAGGGGAAACACCCTTCAGCGATGTTATGAGTGCAACAGAGGGCACTATTCTCCACAATTAATCCACAATAAAACAAGTTTATTTTTATTCTGCACTATCTAAAAAACTACACATAATAAATGTTAGGGAAATCTGTTTGTGTGCATGAAACAAAGCAAAATACTGACCGATATTTCGGATTTTTAGATCACCAAATATCGGTATTGGTGTCGGTCGGGCTCTACAGCAAACCAAAAGCTTCCAAGTTACAAGGAGAAAAGACACTTAGTTTCAAAGCAAAGAAAATGTACTTACAATGATTCTGAATCACGATAACCCCATAAAACCAAATTTTCTACCATTTCTATATCTAAACAACTTCCCATCATTTTACTGTTGTTATAAGTATGAATTGAAAAAAAGCAGCATGTGTCTCACCTGTAGATAGTGCTCTCTTCTTTAGCCACTACAGCCTGGAGGTCAGTGAGCTGGAGAAAGCGGTCATGGAAATAGTGCAGGTGGAGAATACACGCCAGCAAGAAGGACGTGGGAATGAAAATCCTGATGAACAGCTCGCCCAGCTCGAACTGCTTCAAGCCCAGGGCTTCCAGACTGCATTCACAAACATTTCAAAAGAAACAGAAAACTGTGAGATTAAGCTTAAATCACTCCCAAGGTTACTGTGTGAAGAACTGCTGAAGTTTGGAAGACTGAGCACAGCGAAGCTGAATATTGACTCTGTAGATAAAATCTAATCTATTCATCATCTAATACTACCAGGTGTTTATATAACATTTTGTAATAATTATATGTTGGGGGTTTATTGTGACATCATAGCAATCTACAGTATGACCTTAAACCAAAAGACTTTATTCCGTTTGCGTGAAAATGTAAAGAAATTCTCACATAAATGTGTATATATATGTATATATATATATATGTGTATATATATGTATATATATATATGTATATATATGTATATATATATATATATATATATATGTATATATATATATATATATATATATATATGTATATGTATATATATAACACATATATATACAACCACTACAATGGTATGTTACAGAAAAACAGTTTAATATCATAGTGCCCCTGGACACAGCTGTCACGACTAATCAGGCACACTGTAACAATATCATTTTCTGTTTATTGGCTTTTAACAACCACATATCAACTATAGTTGATTATATTTGTATGGCTGAGTATATTAACATAACTAAGTATACTACTTGAGGTAGTGTGTAGGTATATTTCTTTAAACAAGAAACAATAGTTTCAGTCTTTCCTGTAGCTTTTTTCATTACTAAAATATGCAGGTTCATCTTCAAGAGCTGTGAGGCAACTATGCTCTATAAATTGGAAGAACAGATACATACTAAAGTAGTTTTACTAGAACTGAACTACTACAATTTGTAATAGATTTTTTAGGTAACATCATGAATATCTACCTATATATCTACTTAAAAGAAATCAAAGAAAATAAGACATCTGTGAATTCAGTTCTAAAATTCTCCTCCATCCCCAACTAAAGCCACTATACATATGCTTTGCTACGCTAGCAGGGCAAAGCTACTAAAATAAACAAAACAAAACAAAAAAGCTCAAGACAAACAGTTGGTTTGATGACTAAGCCATAAGCTGTGCCTCTCTGGGAAACGTAGGCAGTGAATCAGTATCCTGCCGCTCAGACCGGCAGTTGCTCAGTGGCGCTCACCCTTTTTTATCCAGGCCTGTCATGTTACCCCAGGTGTGTATTGACTCGGGAAACTGGAAGGTGTAGACAACTGTAAGAACCAGCATGGTGTACATAACCACCGACATCCAGAAGTACTTCAGGATCCTTCGCCACCACTCGTAGTGCACCTTCATGACAAGAATTAGAAGAGGACATCTGGATTTATGTGACTTCTCAGTCTGCCTCTGGCTGTTGCTGGGAGTTAGGAATACAAAATGTGCTACGAACCTGGAAAGCACATACTTTATGAACTCACTTAACAAATGACAGCAAATTCTGTGTTTGGGAAATTGAATTTGGGACGTTTATGGCATCATATTCATATCTACACTTTAAATATATACTCCAAAAATTATAACAAAACATTAAATATCCTTATTTCACAGGTCGCCACATTTGGAAGGCTTCGAAAACAATTATACAGATCACGATTTTAAACATCCCACATATTCCCCAAATGTTAATAATAAATATGTGTTTATACACATAAACAGAAGGCAATTCTTTATAATAAGCACTGTTAGTATGCTTGGCCTTGTATATTTTCCCCCTGTTAAATGCATATGTATTATGGTTTTATATCTTTAGTCCATTGACCTTTTAGCAGAATGAAAATCAATTACATTCCCTAAATTGGAAGAATGTTAAACTGCATCATTTCCATCAAATACAATGACAATACATTTCACTTTACAGTTTATATTAATCCTTTGTTGTGAATTATGTGTCTCATGGTTGTTTAATAAATGCCAAAAACATTTAAAAGTCATTACTGATCCTTATTCCCCAAATACTGATGTTTTGTCAACGCTGCTGTGACCTTGAAGATGGAGGAGTTTAAGTGTCTCAGAGTTTTGTTTACGAGTAGGGGAAGAGTGGAAATTGAAAACATGATGAGAAATGTACTTTCATCTGAACGTAACCAGACGACCAGTCCATTTCTTCCTCTCCTTAACCCAAGTAAGATGCTTCTGATGTCTGCACAAACATCCTTGCGCCTTGAGCACCTTTTCTTGTCACACCTTTATCTTCCAGTCAACTTTCCATTAAGAAGGGCGTCGAAGACCCATATGGAAAACTGTCAAGTTAGCTTCCACATGATCTAGGCTGCCTCTACCGTAGTAGACCAAGATATTAACTTTTTGGATAGTCATTTACTCAAACTTGAAATTTCGTATTCTAATAATTTAAGATACTGAATTTCTGAATTTTTAAAGCCGTAATCATAAAAATTTTAATATTAAAGGCTTGAAATATTTCACCTTACGTGCTATGAATACACACTGTCATTGTTCACCTTTTGAATTAAATTACAAAAAACAAAAAATAAATAAATGTATCACAATATTCCATTTTTTTGGGATGCACTTGTACATCTCAAATAGAAACGTCAGCATGTTTATTGTCAATCACTTGGCGTGCTTTCGGTGCGTACCTGGTATAGCGCCACACAGGAGAGGAACATCATCATGTAGATGATCTTGTACATGACGATACGTCCCTCAAAGGTGACGATGAAGAACATGCTACCGCAGATGTAGATCCAATATTTGACCATCAGAGCCATCACCATGTTACCAAGGACGTGCATGAGGTCCTGTTCCCCTCCCTCCTCAGACTCCTCTTCCTCTGTAAAAGCAGTTTTGCATTTTCCAGTCTAGTAGACCATATTTGTTTCTGGATTTTCATTTCTAATGAATGAATAAAGGCATATTTTCTTCTTCTTTAAAATTCTTTGGGCCCACCCAAGATCTCCAGTGACATTGCTGATCAGTGTTAAAAGTCTCTATCATAAGTTTTCCAATGCCATTATGTGCTAATTCTAATACTTGTAAGAGATATTTGTTCATGTTTTTCATTGTTGTTAACAAAGTTTGTATATTTCCTAAGCATTTTTTAAAATAAGTTTAAGTTTATTGTAACATAGGTCATGCCTATAACCTGTTTATAAACTCTTTACGTACTGTAAGACAACAAAATAATAGCATAGAGCTTACCCTGCTTCTTCTGATCCTCTACATGAACGTCTAAGAGACCAGTGCTGTCTTCCTTTTGTTTTTCTTGTCTCTCTGTAAGCGTCTGTCTCAGCAGTAACCAGAAGGTCAGCATACAAAGGACCTTTTTAAAAAAGACGAGGAGCAAAAAAAACAAAAAGATGAAACAACAAATCACACAGAGTTTACTTTAACTGTGTGGGACCAAAAATACTGATGGTCAAAATAACACAAGAGGATATTCTGTATACTGCATGTAGTAAATCAGACATGAGTTTGTAAACTATACTTGGATTGTCTAAATTTGTCTGCATCGACTCTTTAAATAAACATCATTAGCCATCATTTTTCACCCAGGTGTGAAATACAGTGCAATGCATCTTCACTCTTTAAATTAATAAACACATACGCTCTGCACTACAACAGAAATGTGAGTAATTTTAAAAATACGTTACGGTAATTCCAAGTTTGTGTGTTGCATAAAATCATAAAATCTCATTCCAGACATAATCAGGTCAAGTACAGTAGCTGGAAACCTGAACGCCTTAGAGTTATTCCAACACATGTCAAAACACTAAAACCTGACCTTCTTCAGGAGCACATTGCATAACTACACTGTCTTATATTATTAACCGAGTAGTGGAGAGACACAATTTGTTAGCGAGATTGTTTCAGAATCTTAAAAAATAAAGCTTGGTGCAGCATATGCAGAGTACATGTTAAATCCCTGCACATATTAAACCATATTACGTGGTCAAGATTGCAGGCTGTCAAGCTAAATGTCAGGTTTAGTTGTTTGGCTAATGTGAACTCCCAAACCTTAGATGAAAGTGAGTGGAATGGGTTTTTCTTCTCAACAAAGAAGCCTTTGACTTTGCTGTAATCCATGTCCGGAAAAGTCCAAATGTACTGCAGAACTATCAGCAGGTTGCCGTAGGCCACCATGAAGGGAGACGACAGCATGGCGTAGCGCCTCCGATCACGGACCATCCACAGCAGGCAGGACCAGATGAGGAAGACGAACGTCAGCCAGCTGACGTATGTGATGCTCCACGCCTGGAGACAAACAAATTGGAGAGAAAAATTTACAACAAATGCTGCAGTCATGAATGACTAAGGAAGGCCAAATATGACCACTGCTCGGAAATAGTGCGTTGGCGCAGAAACCACACGCACAAACACACATATATACACAAACACAAAGAGAAGCAGATTTCCAGATGATCATCAAACCGTTTTTCACTTCTGACAGAATTAATACATCAATGATTCGTTACTTTGGCTTAATTTTATTTTTAAATATAAATCAGTTTCTACTATTCAGACCCGCAAAGACGACTGAGATCCAAACACAGATGACTAAAAATGTGTACGTTTGTTATAATGCATAATATGACAAAGTAATGAAGCAACAGCATCAATAACTTTTTTGATTTTCAATTTAATGCTCAAACATTTTGGTAAAAATTTTGCAACGATCTTGTCTATGGCTTCCCAAAAATTGAGATTTGCACTGGTGTATCAGCATGTGTCAAGTTTAGAATTACAGATTGTTAACTTACTGTTAAATAACAATAAAAACAGTAACATTTAAATTATTTAACAGGTATTTGAACAAATTTATTGCTAAACTAACTGATTAAAATAAATAACGCAAATTTAAAAAAAACAGTAATGGCAACAAAACAAAAAGTATGGTAACTATGCAACTTGAGACTGCTGATGTATTTAGAAGATGGTAACTATGATTTGTTATAAAAGCAGCATTTAGTCCTTTCAGCACTGACATTTTCCCATGAATGAATGAGAAAAAGGTTTTTAAACAATATTCTTCAAAGAAAAGTAGGAAGACTTTTGAATAATTAATTTTTCGTAGTGAAAAACATAATTCAATGATTTCAGGAATTCAGGATTCTGAAGGAATTTATTTACATAGAGATCAAAGACACAATCTGTCTGTGCTACATCACAAATCTTTATCTATAGGCGATATAACAGAAGTGCCAGTGCCAGTTAGGCTAAAATTTGCAAATGTCATCGTGCAAAACACAGCTGTCCGCTTCTCAGGCTCGGTGCGATGGACTGTCACATAGTGGTAACTTGCAGTGTGGTTAGACAAATCAATATTTCTGGTCTCTTTTAGTAAAATCAGGCTGTGCACTCCAGAGCAAAGGACAGATTGTTACCAGCAACGTTTGGAGTTGCGTCAGTGCCTTTGGGAACGCTAACTTGCAGTTCTGTGAAGGCGCCATTAGCTCTGACAAGTACGCTGATATTTTGGAGCAACATATGCTGTCGTGACATGACAACAATTTAACAAACAGTAGCGCTACTTGTATTTCTGTAAAAGAAAAAAAAAATTAATTACTCCAGGAATGTCTAAACTGAGAACAGATGCTCATTTTTGGTTGCATTCTGCCACACATGCAACCATAGACGCTGCCCAGTAAAGCCACAGTTTCCTACTGCTAGCCAGCCAGTAGTTCCACTGGAGCATAAAGAAGTTCAGTGCCTTGCTCAAGGGCATTGATGTTGATCGAGCAGGCAGGAGTGTTTTGCAAACGACATTTTTCCACCAGGTTTGTGGGTTTGGGCCTGCTACTCTCTGGATATAAAGCTTGAATGTCAAATTAATCTGTTCATATAAACAGCAAGCGCATTTTAAGAGAACAAGTAGGAACGACAAAGTAAGTAAGATGTATATTTTTAAAATTTCATTCATATTATTAAGCAAAACTAAGCACTGACTTTCAACATTGCTCACCATCATGGATATGAGAGCACCGATGTAGCTTTGTTTCATGATGAAGTGGAAGATTTTGACCATCGCACCGACTCCTTTTTTCTTTATTATATTCTCTTCACTCTCGGTCTCCTTCACAGATGACTCCTCCGGGGGCAAACACACTTCATACACACACTCTTCTTTCTTCTCTGTTTGGACAAACAAACAGGTCATTACAACACTTCTACTGTGGAACTGTGTGGATCTATTACTGCACTTCCATAAAGTTGGGGGCAACTGTGAGAGTTTAACTTCACAAAGCACAGAAGACAGATTCTGACTTTCGATTCTTAGTTTGCAAAAAGCTCTAAACACCTCAGATTTTACACATTAAAGTAACTCGGCAGAAACACAAACAAGACTTTCCCTATCTTCCCTTTTCATGTCCCTTGAAAAGTTTTTTAAGACTTTACAAGTTCCTCAGTACATTAAACAGCCATATTCACAGGCTATTAAGTATCTCACCTCATAACTACTATATTAACTAAAATAAGTGAAGGAAACCTTTAAAACAATTCAGTGAACTCGGCTGCAAATAAGTGAAACATAAAACCAAAATGAAGGCGGGAAGGGTGAAGTAGCAGATGTATTTAACACTTAATGTGAAAGATAATTTACTTTATCTTGAAGCCATCTTTGCTGCTTTTATGTACTGTTAACTGTGCACATTTGAATTCACTGCATAACATGTATCGTCTATTTGTAAAAGTTATGGTGGAAATACACCATACATAAGTTTTTACCATATTTGGTAAAGACTTCATCAAAGGTACTTAATTACTTCCAATCACTTTATGATTATGACAATTTATTCCTCACACAGTTAACTTAAAAAACTTTTAAACTTAAAAAA